GATTCTACAGGCCACATTCTATAAGAAAATTTTCTTTCCGGGTCGATCTGAGACAATTTTTTTTTCGTGGCTCAAAAAAAGGCAGTGTATAACCTTCCTTTTTTACCAAAAATCGACTACACCAAAATTTCTCGGGAAAACACTTTTCTTATTAATTTTGGTGCGTAGAATCCAAAACAATTCGTACTTTTTCGATCAGACTTCTCAATCAAAAGTTATAGACTAGAAACCAATTCGAAAGAAAATTCAAAGGGCTGTAACTTTTGAACTAGTAGCCCAATCTTGGAACTGTTTGAAATTATGGATTCTACAGGCCACATTCTATAAGAAAATTTTTTCCGGGTCGATCTGAGACAATTTTTTTTTGGGGCCTCAAAAGAGGCAGTGTATAACCTTCCTTTTTTACCAAAAATCGACTACACCAAAATTTCTCTGGAAAACACTTTTTCTTATTAATTTTGGTGCGTAGAATCCAAAACGAGTCGTACTTTTTCGTTTAGACTTCTCAATCAAAAGTTATGGACTAAAATCCAATTTCGAAAGAAAATTCAAAGGGCTGTAACCCTGGTTAAAACCTATAGTACGTCCCTTTTTAAAAAAATGAGGTTAGGCACGTTAACTTTTTTATCCAACCCCGTATACTTATTTGGAAAATTGTCGGTTATTCGGTAATCATTATAAAGAAACTACGGATATACCCTATAAAAGTGTCGAAAATGGGACACCCTATACATTAATGCACAAGACAATTTTTTTAAATTCGAACATCACAAATTTATTTCTTTACATGCAATTTCTGATAGAAATTAACCGATACACGAACACGGATAAAATTGTTTTAAAATGGCAACAAAAAAGTGAGCTCAAACTCGCCTTTCAGTACAAGAGCTTAAAAATACAGGGACATAACAAATTTAATACCAAGAACTTGATCTACTTGCAGCGAATGTGACGGCGGTAATTGGGGATGTCGTACAGCCAAGTTTGATGAGGTCGGTAAATACCCGATTAAGCTGGACGGCAAGTGCGACGATGACAAAAACGAACAATTCACACTATGCGAAGCTACAGAAGTGAAAACTTGCAAGGTGATTTGCCTATACCTTTCATTGAACGTGTTAGCACAGAATATTTGCAGAATATGGATACCTTCGTCGGTCCGACCACAAGTCCCATAGTTTGCCACACTGGCTGTCAGTGTAAGGAGGGGTATGTCTTAGATACTGCGACCAAGACGTGCGTGCTTCCCAAAGATTGCCCGTGCCACCACGCGGGCATTAGCTACAAGGATGGCGACGTGGTTCCTAGTGACTGCAACCTCTGGTGAGACCTTCCAAATCTCAATTGAGTTTCATTTCTTTTGGTTTAGTACATGTAATGGAGGAAAGTGGGACTGCACGGACAAAGAATGCGTGGGAGAGTGTAGTGCCTGGGGAGACTCGCACTACAAGACGTTTGATGGTAGAACATACAATTTCCAAGGCCAGTGCGACTACTTACTGGCGCGGGGTACTAACGACAATGGATTCAAGTTTGACATCTCCATCCAGAACGTTCCCTGTAGTACTCTGAGCGTCAGCTGCTCGAAATCGGTAACCATTCGAGCGGGCTTTCCTCCGGACCAAGAATCGCTTACGTTATCTCAAGACAATACTATACCAGATTTTACGCTGATGAAGCATATTATTGTTAAGCAAAAGGGCCATTTTATCGTTGTGGAAATTCCGGAAATCAAGTTAAACGTTCTTTGGGATAAAGGCACCCGGGTGTACGTACAACTCAATTCGAAATGGAAGAACAAAGTGCAGGGATTGTGTGGTAACTACAACGGCGATCAAATGGACGATTTCCAAACACCTTCCGGTGGCATTCCCGAAATTTCGCCGCTCGTATTTGGCGACTCGTGGCGTTTGCAGCCGGTTTGTGCTAACAGCGTTGAGGTGGTGGTAAGTGAGCCGCAAGAACAAGTAGACCGATGTGTAAAATTGTGTCGTAGGATACTTGTAGCCTAAGACCGGAGCGGAAAATGTGGTCCATGAAGGAATGCGGCGTGTTGAAATCGTCAGTCTTCGAGCCTTGCCACGCGGAAGTGCCGGTCGAACCTTATTTGGAACTTTGCATTTTTGATGCGTGCGCCTGCGATCAAGGAGGCGATTGCCACTGTCTGTGTACCGCACTAGCGGCGTACGCTCACGAATGTAACCTTAAGGGCATCCCCATAAAGTGGAGAACTCCCGATTTATGTCGTACGTAATAGGCCTAATGGTACGCTTGGGGCGTTCATTTTTGAATTTTAGCAATGCAATGTGATGAAAACTGTGGGCACTATGATCCTTGCATTTCTGTCTGTCCACTTGAAACTTGCGACAATATGTTAGTGTATGGGAAGTTGATGGGGTCATGTGCCGAAAGCGTCTGTATCGAGGGTTGCCACGTGAAACCATGTCCTGATGGACAAGTTTATAAGAATTCTTCCTTACTTGATTGTGTTCCAAAACCAGCGTGTAACCCCATTTGTCTAGAAGTTGGCACAACCATCTACTATGAAGGTGATCTAATGGAGAAGGATGATTGTCACAGTTGCTATTGTTCTAAAGGCCGTCAAGTTTGTCAAGGAGTCCCTTGCACATCTTCAACTGTTACGGTAAGCACCTTAAGGCTCCTCTGTAGTCAATCCGCCATATTGGAAACATAACTTAACTTTCTTATGAAATGCTGCTTTTGTAGTTGAAGTCTAACAAATTCTCGATAGTGGATATTCTTTGCAATGATGAAAAGAATGGCGGTACTTAAAAAAAGTTGAAATATCGGTCTTAGTTTTTTAGGAAGATCGATGAATAGAAAAATGGTTTTTTTGTAAATAACAGCCGTTGTAATGAGGGTAGAAAAACGTACAGCACCAATTTGGAAATCCGACAGTATTTCTTACGGCGGTACTTAAAGATATTATTTCCACCTATTATGATAAGGCATATATTTAAAAAAATATGTTTCGCGATCTTCAGAAAAAAATCAAAACGCTAACGTAAGGATAGGCAACTCAAAGTGCACTTATAACGCCTGAGGCGACAACTCATTACTTGAAAGGGAAAACAAAAGAAACTACCTGGTATTACCCTACACATTGTTACGCCGTTCCTAATGATATGGATTAGATAAATTACTATTTATTATTTATTTATTTGAATGCTGTTGATTTGTAAATCATAATGCCACATATTCCCAAGACGAAAAATGGATATCCTATTATAGGTACATTGGAAATAATTTTTTATTTCTAAAACCTTTTGCATCCCATCAGGATGCTTCAAGAAATAAAAAAAAACCCTATAATGAGGCTCCCTTTGACGGGGCGGGGGTACGTACAATACTAGGTACTTCACATATTATATCATAAGTAGTGCTGAATATGAACTCTGTTTTATAACAATGCTTTCAAACTACCAGAAGCGTTAGCACTTTGTTTAGTTAGATCAAATCAAATATGACTAAATTACACGTTTGTGTATATTTCCCATCTAAAATTATCAGTTTCCTCAGATCCTCAGTATGCGGAGCAATCAGAAGGGCCGATTCCTGCAAAATGTGGTGTAAACGATTTTAACGTTTTAAATGGCCCATTTGGGTCCAAATAACATGTATTTGAAGAGTGCACACCAATTTTTTCCCGGCACAACTTTTGGCAGCCAAAAAACCTCAAAACGTTCGGACTTTTTTCAGTTTTTCGCTTAAAACTCGAAAACGGTCCATATTTTATGAATAACACTTCTTTAGTAAATTAAAGAAAAAATTCTGCGTCGATAAAAAAAACAAACAAAATTGGTCCAATAGAAACATTCTTACAAGCGATCAAAAAACGCCCATTTTTTCCAACTTTTCTAAAGAACTGAGTTAACCTTTTTTTTAATGCGTTGTGGCTCCTAAAGGAACGATAAAATCCACTACTCCCCCCCTACCTAAATGTTGTAGAACATCAATCAGAGAGGTCAAAAAGTACCATCAATTTAAAATTGGACCAATTTTTGAAATTCGTTGGATAAAATGGGCGTGTTTTGATCGCTTGTAAGAATGTTTCTATTGGACCGATTTTGTTTGTTTTTTTTGATCGACGCATAATTTTGTTTTCTTTCATTTACTAAAGAAGTGTTATTCATAAAATATGGACCGTTTTCGAGTTTTAAGCGAAAAACTAAAAAAATGCCAAACATTTTGAGATTTTTTGGCTGCCAAAAGTTGTGCCGGGAAAAAATTTGTGCGCACTCTTCAAATACATGTTATTTAAACCCAAATGGACCATTTAAAACAATAAAATCTTTTACACCACCTTTTGTAGGTCAAAATTGTAATGTTTAGCTAATTATTCGGTAATTCTCAAGAGGCGTTAAATAAAATAAAAACGTCAATTTGATAGGTACTAAAACACGACTGGCTTTATTAGTAGGCTGACTCAATGCCTTCTACAAATGGTAACTAATATGCAAATCAAGTAATACATAACACGTCCTACCTTTAACAAAATTAAAAATAACTAAACAAATTAGAACACAAACTAATAAACGATAAATAATTACATATCAAACTTTTTAGGTGGTTTTACAACACGACCACAACGAGTTACTAATCTGCTTTCTCTGGTATTTCCATATTGATCATTGCCTTTTCCAACATATTCATCACTATCATCTTCTTTTGTTACAAAAGAGTCATTAAAAGGAAGATAATTGGAAGTCGATGATTGAGTATCTTGCTCAAAACTATCTTGTGTCTCTGTGTTTTTGTGATCCAATTTTTGATTTATTTTAAGTGGTTTTAGGAATCTTCGATTTCTTCTGTACACAGCGTCGTTCAGATTAACCAAATAATCATAGGGTCCTGATTCTTAAATCACTGTTGCAGGTTTCCAGTCTCTCATTCCTTGTTGCATCAAAATTAAAAGTTTTTTACATTTTTTGTCATAGTGTACTTTTTGTTTATGTTGTTTGCACTTTCATGCTTGTTTAACCTTTTTTGCTGAATATTTTGGATTCAAAATACTGTTGGCAACGGGCAGTGTTGATCTTAATCGTCTTCCCATTAACAAAATACTGGGAGATGGAAAATCTTGCTTCGGAGTAATGTTATAATTTAACACCGCGAGAAACGGATCAGTGCCTTCTTCAAATGCTTTGGTAAGTAAACCCTTAACAGTTTGAATAGCTCTCTCAATCATTCCATTTGATGCAGCGTATGTTGGACTCGAGGTCGTTAATTTAATGTCATATTGTTGAGCAAAATTAAAAAATTCTTTTGAATTAAATGGAGGTCCGTTATCTGACATAATTTCCTGTGGTAGACCAATAATAGCAAAAACGTTTTTAAGAGAGCTTATCACACTTTCTCCCGTTTTGTTTGGTAATTTGTTGACTACCACGAATTTGCTAAAGTAATCAACAATAACAATCAAATTTAGAGGACCCAGGCTTTTAAAATCAATTCCAATTTTTTGCCAAGGCAAATCTGGAACCTTGTGTGGTTGTAGGGGTTCTCGTGTGTTGGCTTTTGAATATTTTTGGCAAATCAAGCAGGACAATACTAAATTTTCTATGTCTGTTGTTAAGCCAGGCCAATAAACGGATTCTTGGACAAGCAGTTTGGTAGAAACTACTCCCTGGTGAGACTTATGCAACAATGTTAAAAATTCATGTTGCAAAGTTTTTGGTACAATAATCCTTTTCTTGTAAAAAAGTATGTTTTTGTGAAGATAAATGTCTTCTTTTATTTGCCAAAATATTTTGAGTGATGGTGGTAGGTTACACTTGTGGGACGGCCAACCATTTCGAACATAGTACTTGATTTTTTGTAGGTCACAGTCTTGATCAATTTCATTTTGCAGGCGCTTTTCGTTCTCAGCTAAAGTTGTAATTACCGAAAACATTCTTAGATTTTCTTCAAGGTAATTTGTATCAATGTGGTCTTTTAAAGGTTCTCGGCTTAAAGTATCAGCTATTTGTTGATTTTTTCCCGCAACATACTTGAGACCGAAAAAATACCTTAGTAATCTATGTGCCAACCTTTGGATTCGAGGAGACATCTCATCGAGAGGTTTTTCAGTAATCCTATTAAAGGTCTGTGATCACTTTCAATCAAAAATTTTCTGCCAAACAGGTAGTAATGAAAACGTTCGCAACCAAAAACTAGAGCTAAAAGCTCTTTGTCTATGTGATTATAATGTTGTTGGGTTGAAGTAAGTGATATTGAAGCGTATTCTATTGGATGTCCTTCCTGCATAATAACAGCTCCAATACCGAAAGGACTTGCATCGACAGATAATACAGTGTCTTTATTTGGATCAAAATTGCTAAGGGTTGGTGATGACGTCACTAGCTGTTTCAGACGATCAAAAACTCTTTGTTCATTAGCAGACCATTGCCATTCCACACTATTTGAAAGTAATTTTCTTAAAATTACAGTCTCAGTTGAAAGATTCGGTATATATTTTGACAAATAGACAATCATACCCAGAAAGCGTTGTAGATCTTTTTTGTTGCTGGGTGGTTTCATTTCTAAAATGGCTTTAGTTTTACTGTTGTCAACTTCAATGCCTTGTGAACTAATATAGTGCCCCAAAAATTTTACTTTTGTAACACCAATCTTAGATTCTTGTAAATTTAAAGTTAATCCAGATTTTGCAATTTTTTGCAGAGTTTTTTCCAAATTTAAATTATGTTCTTCGATTGTTTTTCCATAAACTAATATATCGTCAAAGTACGCTATTACTCCCTCAATGTCATTTAAGGTGTCATACATAAATTTCTGAAATATTTCCGGCGCAGAACTCAAGCCATATGGAAGTCTTAAATAGCGATAGCGTCCAAATGGCGTAGATATAGTGCATAATAAAGAGCTTTTATAATCCAACGGAATTTGCAGAAAAGCGCTGGAAGCATCTAACAATGAAAAATATTTTGCACCCGCCAACTCAGAAAATAAAGTATCTTGCGTAGGAATTTGAAAAAATTCTCTTTTGATATAGAGATTTAAAGATCGAGGATCCATACACACTCTTATATCACCATTTGACTTGGGGGCTATGACTATGGGATGTACCCAATCAGTTGATTCTGTTACAGGAACAATAATGTTTTCAGTTATCATTTCGTCAAGTTTTTGTTTTACTTTGTCTTCTAATGCTACAGGTATTTTTCTTGTAGCAGATATTTGAGGAATTGCATCTTCCCTTAGCGTAATGCTATATGTTGTCGAAACTTTACCGATTCCCGAGAAGACTTTTTGGTACTTGGAAACCACAGTGTTCGTACTTTCAATTTTAGTTGCACAAACCTTGAGACCCAAATTATATTTTACGATTTTTAATTCACTACTAGACTTTAGTCCTAAAATCGACGAATTTTTGCACTCAGTGAGCACGTGGAAATACAAATTTTTGGTTAACCCGTTATAAGTGCAATCTAAGTTTATTTGCCCTATAGTTTTAATATCATGACCCGAATAGGATGAAAGTTTTGTTCCAGTTTTGCTTAAGCTATAGCTACAAATTCCAAGTTTTTTAAAATCTGCATAGTTCAAAATATTAACTTCACTACCAGTGTCTATTTTAATTTTAATTTCAATGTTTTGAATGTAAATTTGTTCATACCACTCAATTGAATTTACTGTTTTGTGATTAGGTCCAGAAGATATCATCCAAACTATGTTTGAAGATTCATTACTGGAATCACAGTTACAACTATAATTGTGTGAACATTCACATTCATCAGAATCAGATGACTCAGTTTCTGATTCATTAATTGCGTTGATATACTTATTTTTACAAAATTTTGATAGTGCCCTTTTCTACGGCAGCGACTACAAACACGAAATAGCGCAGGGCACTTACCTTTTTTGTGTTCTAAACCACAGTTTTTGCATTCTGTTTTATATGATTTTTGTGATCCATAGGGTTTGTAATTCATCACTTGTCTACTACTGGTTCCCTGATCATTTGCACTATAATTATTATTTCGAAAGTTATTTTTATGTTTATGCTCCGAATGTACCGTATTTACGGCTAGAAATTCACTTTTAGCATCGCGTGAAATCTGTCTTTGTGGCACTGCACTACTTTCGATAGCATGACATAACGACACAGCTTTTTCGAGGGTTAGTTTGTCTTCTTGTAATAATTTTTCCTGTGTGCGCGTATCGCGTATTCCGAGCACTATACGGTCAAGAATCATTACGTCTTTTTCTTTAAATTCACACGAAAGGGATTACTGTTTTAAAGCCGTCACAAACTGATCAAATGTTTCTCCTTGCTGTTGTTCCCGTTTGAAGAACTTAAAATGTTCAAAAACCAAGTTTTTAACCGGCTCGCAATAGTTCCTGAATTTGTCAAGCACGACCGATAATTGTTTGCTGTCATCTTCGCTCTCAAATTCGAATGTATTAAAAATTTCGAGCCCTTCATCGCCCAAGAAATGTTGCCACTTTAACATTGTCCACTTTTGCATTTTTTCCACTAGCAAGCATGTACAGATTAAATTTTTGTTCCCATAAGCGCCAATTTGCAGCTACGTTACCTTTAAAGCTCATTGAACCAGGACATAATGCATCAGACATTTTAGACATTCCTCGAATAAGTAAAACCTTATTTTTGTTTGTTCTTCTTTCTCCAACGTAAACCCGTTAGACCGCGCTTTTTAACAGATTCGTTTACCTAGCACCCAACACGTTTTTTAACGTTTTTTACCGTATGCCACCATGTAATGTTTAGCTAATTATTCGGTAATTCTCAAGAGGCGTTAAATAAAATAAACGTCAATTTGATAGGTACTAAAACGTGAAAATTATCTATTTCGAGAAATGCGACCAAAAGCAAAAGATGCACATGCCCTTTGCTTTCCATAAAGTTGCGCCCAATAGATAACAAATGACACATAGGCATTTTTTCGCTTATTAGCGAAACATAAAGATAGGAAACGTCGTTGTATGTTATATAAAAGAAACGCTACCCATATAAATACAATTCCCCTTTTTAGTTAAATTCCTAGGCGGGATACGATAACTAATGACCGACACTGACAATTTTATTTAAAACAAAGTGTCACTGTTTTGCTCATGTTAAGTCAAGTTAGTGAAAGTGGGGGATATAAAAAAATTCTTGCACTTTTAAAAAAATTCGTCTATTTATCTTTCCGTTTGAGAATACCTTTTGATGGAGTCCCACAAACTTCACATCAACTTGGCGAATTTTTTTCAAATTTCCAATACTATGTAGCGACCGAAACCGGTAAATTTTTTACTACTACCTACTTCTTTTTTCAATATGGACTGATCAACTTTATCAACAGGAATATTTGTCCCTCAAAAAATAGGAGGATCAAGTAAATTTTATTTTTACCATTGAATTCAGGGCAAGAAAGTGAAGTAATCTTACCGCACAAAAGATGTTCGGAAAAATTCTCCATGGGTCGTGCATAGATATAAATAAGTAATACGCTAAATGTACAATTGTTATTAATTTTTGAAAAGATAAGGATTTATTTAGAATCAGTATAAATGTTATACTTTTAATCATTGCAACAGAATTTTAAATGTTAGTTACCATTTTTATGAAAAACATACAATTTTTGTTGTTGTTCACCCTTGTATATAAGTAAAGAAAGATTTATTTTAGGTGTTCGAAGTGCCGGTTTTTTTAGGATCTACCATACCTAAGTGAATTCATTCATGCACATGTACCTAATAACTATAAAAATCTATAAATCAGTAAAAATGATTAGAACAAATCACAAGAAATAATGGGAAATTTAAAAATGTTATAAACAAACAATGCTAATCTAGTCCACTAATTACATGAAAACCACGTAATTTACAGAAGGTGTCATTATAGAAAAATGCAGTAAATGCATTGAATAAATAATTTATTCAACGGTAACAGAAATAGGTATTTGTGCATCTCCAGTCAAATATTGTACAGCTTTTCGATAAACTTGTTTACATAATTAGTCCTTGATCATTATACATGGTCTATTGTGTTTAACAATAAATGAAGAGAATATGCAAAACTGACACATCGTTGGTTTCACTCAAGGAGATCATGTAGCAGTGTGTATTGTTGGTGATCTAACCAATTGCAATAACACTGAAATACAAATTGTCTACAGAGGAGCCTTAAGCTGTAACCACTTTAACGCCTGTTTTAGACGGAAGAAACTCGTACGGAGCCTAATACCGAGACCGTGCAGTGCAAGCCCGGTTGGACCACGTGGATTAATGTAAACTCCAAACCCGGTCCCAAGGACTCTGACTTTGAACCACTGCCAACTTCCATTATAATGGTAGTATTAAGGAACAATTTTGGGTTAGTAATTCAAAATCGTTTCAGGCGGAGTTACCGGGAAGCCGATGCGAATCTGACATGATCGCCGACATCCAATGCAGAACGGTAGACACGCACCTGACTCCAAAAGAAACCGGACTGGATGTCGAATGCAGCTTGGAGCGCGGTTTAGTCTGCACGTCTAGACAGGACGAGGACGAGTGTCCCGATTTTGAAATTCGAGTCAAATGCCAATGCAGTAAGTTCACATGCACATCTCCGTTTCACCTGCTATTCCTATTGCAGAAGAAACGGTGACCGTATCGTGCGATCCATCACAGCCTTTGGAAGCTCACGTTGGCGACTGCTACTTATATCACGGTTGCGACAAAACCGACGACGGAAACTCGCTGGTTGTCAAAACTTGCGGACCAGATTTGATGTTCAATCCCAAGAAGCTCAAGTGCGATTTTCCGTCCAAAGTCATACTCGTTAAACCGGAATGCGAAGTTTCAACTACTGGTAAGGTCGCTTTTACACGGCTTTTTCTCACGCTCCACTTTCAGCCCCAGTTACAACTCCGGCGTGCGACGTACACGGGCCGAATATCGCCGATCCATCCGACTGCTACCTCTATTACCGTTGCGAACAGACGGACAATGGGTACGAGCTTGTGCGAAAAACGTGCTACCCCGACTTTATGTTTAACACGGAAACGCTTCAGTGCGACTTCTCGATGAAAGTCGGCGAGTTGCGACCCGAATGTCACGAGAGTAAGTATGATCGCGAAGTAAGTCGGCGACCAACGGTAGTTTTTAGCCGTTACCGAAGCCTGCGACGTCGGCGAACCCAGCAAACCCCACTCGTCGGACTGTTATCTGTATTACAGCTGCATCGAGAAAGAGAACAAGGGGGCGGAATTAGTCGGACAAAACTGCGGACCGAACTTAATGTTTAATCCCGCAAAGCTGAAATGCGATTTTCCGGAAAACGTCGGCCAAGTTAGACCGGAATGTGTATTCACCATTAGTATGTAATATGAGCGTTGTATTAAGTGAGTGACGCTTGATGTTGTAGAGCCAGCTACCGAAGTGTGTGCAATGGATGAGCCGAATCGTCCACACGCTCACGACTGCTCCGCGTACTACAAATGCGAGAAGACCGAGGAAGGAAACGATCTAGTCGAAAAGATTTGCGAGTCAGGATTGATGTTTAATCCCATCAGTTTGCAATGTGATTCTGAAGAGTCTGTAGGGCAAGTCCGACCGGAGTGTGTTCCTTCAACGACACGTGGTAAGGGTTTCGCTAGCAAATGACGCACTGACACTAGCTGTTTTAGCACCATCGACTACTGTAGCGTGTAACGTTGATGGACCCAATGTGCCAGACCTCACAGACTGTTACAAATTCTACCGATGTGAGGACAGGGAAAGTGGAGTCGAAATGGTTACCAAAACTTGTTACCCCGAGTTTATGTTTGACACTGTCTCGCTAAAATGCGAGTTTCCTGAGCAAGTGGCAGTAGTGAGACCAGAATGTGAGATAGGTAAGTTGCCTTCAACCCTCTCCATCCAAAACTACTCATTTTTTTTAACAGAGGTGCCAATTTCTCCAGTCTGCGACGCATCAGAACCCAATAAGCCTCACCCTTCGGATTGTTTCTTGTATTATCGTTGCGAGGAGAAAGAGGAGGGATCGGTGCTGGTTGGAAGAACATGTGGACCGATGCTGATGTTCAATCCCGCTACTCTTAAATGCGATTCCCCAGGCAACGTTGCTAAGGTCAAACCCGAATGTAAAATCACTAAACCTCAATGTGATATGAACGAACCAAACCGAGCCGACCCCACCGACTGCTATCAGTACCTCAAGTGTGAAGACACGGAGGACGGAATTTTGTTGGTCAAGAAGACTTGCGCCGACGATTTAATGTTCAATCCTGTAAGTTTGGAATGCGATTCCCCGGACAATGTCGCGGAAATCAAACCGGAGTGCGAAATTTGGAGGACAAGGCTGCCAACCACGCAACAATGCGACGTTTCCGAACCCAACAGACCAGGAGCTGATTGTTACACTTACCACCGTTGCGAGGAAAGAGACGGCGTTGCTGTTGAAGTTCAAAAATCATGTAAACCGGAATTCATGTTCAATCCGGAAACGCTGCAGTGCGATTTCCCAGACAACGTTGGTGTAATTAAAGAGGAATGTATAGAAGGTGAAAGCAAAGTTGATCAATCGTATCCTGAACTAACGAGGTATATTTTTCAGTCATTCCAACCGTGAAACCGACATGCGACGTTAGCGTCCCCAATAAACCGCATCCCTCTGATTGTTACCTGTACTACCGTTGCGAAGAGACCGAAACCGGCGGTGAGCTCATTGGAAGGACCTGCGGGCCGATGTTGATGTTCAACTCTGCGAAACTTAAGTGTGATTTCCCCCACAACGTTGCCAAAGTCAGACCCGAATGTGCAGGTGTTACCTCTACAAGCACAGGTAAGACCATCGATTGATATTTTCCGATTTAAAATTGATTTCTCTTTAGAAGCTACTGTGACTGCAATTTGCGAGATGACGGACGCTAAACTGCCACACGTATCCGACTGCCATATCTACTACGTCTGTGAAGAAACGGAAGTTGGAAATGACTTGGTGCAAAAAACTTGCGGTTCCATGCTGATGTTTAATCCGATGACTTTAAAATGTGATTTCCCATTAGACGTTGCTAAAGTAAGACCGGAATGTGCCGTGATTGAGTCTACCACCGTCACTACTACTGGCGAATCAGGTAGGAACCAAATAGGAAGATTTTTAAACAATTAATATTTGTGTACAGTTGCAACAACCACTTCTCCATTGTGCGATGTCCACGGAGAAAACGAAATGGATCACAGCGACTGTTACAAATACTACCACTGTGAAGAGAGGGAGAATGGCTTGCAGGTCGTTACGAAAACTTGCTACCCAGAATTCATGTTTAATCCGATTACTATGCAATGCGATTTTGCCGAACATGTTTTATTCATCAGACCGGAGTGTCATGATGGTTTGTCAGCATCAGCTGTATGCTTACCAACCTTTAATGACCATTTTCCTACAGAACCAATAGTACACGCCGTGTGTGACACATCTCAGCCAAATAAACCTCATCCTTCGGACTGTTACCTTTACTACCGTTGTGAGGCAACCGCGGATGGAGGCGAACTGACAGGCAGAACTTGTGGTCCAATGTTAATGTTCAACTCCGCAAAACTAAAATGCGATTTCCCTTCAAATGTTGTGAAGATTAGGCCTGAATGCGGTGCTACCGTTACAACAACATCACGTGAGTAAATAAAACTTGTAGAAGTTGTAAGGTAAAAAAAAGTCCAGACTCACACGGCCTCAGCTTGCGTCATTCGCGTTCTGCCTCAAGTCGGTACGCAGCTCGAGCACGAGCGCGAACGAGGCAATCCAACCCTGTGCGTCATGCCTCGTACGGTGTTCTTTTTTTATTTTGCCTTTATTTTTGAGGAGGTGGGTTTTCAGCCAACGCTGCTCTACCAACCCAACCCACCATACATTTACAAATATCCATGTAGTCCAGTCAAATTAGCTCCAAAAGTAGTATAAACTGGATGTTGTCACTTCACTGAACAAAACCAAGCGTATTCTATGTAAAAAAATCCGCTGAATCGGAAAATCATAGTCCCCCCCCGGCCGGAAACGCCCGGAACATATTGTTATAAACAAAAAACGAAGAAAAAATGGGAAAATGTTGTGTGTTTTCACATTTTACTTCGGATATCTCGTTAACTATTGCTCTGAGGGAAAAAATGAATAGAAATGAACTTGTTTAGAATAAAATTTTCTATAAGATACCGGAACGCTAATTTTCAACTGTTATTGTTTTTTAGAGAAAAATGTAAAAACAGTAATCTCTAAAATTAACAGTTTGTTATTACTAAGTAAAATTCATTCGATCTTTTTGAAAATCCGTATTTATAGTAACTACTTTTCATAACAAAATATGACAATATGACAAACCAGATCACCGTAGGTTTCATACTCATTGATTCATTAGATAAACAAGTAGAAAAAGAGATGCTTTGTCTTTCAAACTGGGGGAGTACAAGAGTGTTCTCAATTTTTTTTATACATATTATAACCCTAAAACAATCTTTTACAGTAATTGTCCCGATGATTCCTGCAAATCGACGGACGGTGCAATTTTTTTTTCAAAATCCGAAGAATTTTCTTAGTTAACAAATGGAATAACTCCCAATTTCCACGCGATGGTATACAAACGGCGTTCTCAGACGAGGAAATAAGGGCGAACATGAGGACCGAACACATCACGCACATTTTACCCTCAAATAATTTGAAGGGAATTATCGTCGGTTAACGCTTAATAATTCAACTTTATGTTTCAAGTACTTCGAGCTTTTCAATATTGACAACAAATGATTAATACCGGTTGTAGTCTAGGCTATATAATATTTTTTGACAAAAAAAATTAGTTACCGGGCGAAACCGGGTTTTTCAGGAAGGTAAAATGAATACAAATTGGGAAAAAATAATTAAAACAGCTGAATTTTTCCGCGGGTGAAATCACGGGGGTTGAAAGGGTTGGAAAGTGGTGTTTTGCAAATTGTGGCAAAACTACTAATTTTAGCCGAAACTGTTAAATGTAAAAGTTATAGAGATTAAGAAATGAGCAACTTTTGTATCTGCACTATTTTCACATAACCTCCAATTTTCCTAGAAAAACCGGAAAAACGGCTTTTTTTCGTTTTTTATTCTTATTTTTGTGAAAAAATGTCGTAGGGGTTTGAAATTTGGCGCAAACATAGCTTGTTTTATGATAAAAAAGAATATAATTTTTTGGGCCTGTAAAGTTGAACCGTTTCCAAGATCTCACGATTTCTGAAAAAAAACACCTCTTTTTCGAGGGGATGAAAAATCTATTTTTTTTGTCGTACAGTGCGCGGGGTAGCAAAATTTTCGAGAAGACATATTTTAATAAACAAAAATAAAAAAATATTATTCTTATAGCAAAAATTCGAGAAAATCGACAAAAACTGGAAAAACAGTTTTAAGATATACCTACACGATTTTTGACCTGATAAATCAACATATTGGATGTTAATAAAGATTTTTTCGAAATCTTCTTGCTTCTTTAATGTTTGCCTAAATATTCTCTATTATTATCTTATGCTCAACTGTTTTAGTTAAAATATCTTTATTATTTCTTTTTTCTGCATTTTTACCGCAATAAAAGCAATTCGAAATAAAATCGGATTCACTGACTCTTCTTCCTGCCTGTTTTATAGCTGATGCAATTGCGTTGGGCCTGTTGAAAACTTGCAAAATCTGAAATAAGAACGTTAGTTTTACCGGCCATTGACCAAATCAAATGATTTGAGATGTAAAATCTGGTATAAACTTTATGAGGAGTTTATTCATAATTCCTGTAAAACGATCAACAGGGCCAGCTTAATCCCATCAGCTGTAAAACAGGCAGGAAGAAGAGTCAGTGAACAAAAAGAAATTGTTCAGGAAGCAAAAGAATTCGATTTTACTTCGAATTGCTTTTATTGCGGCAAAAATGCAGAAAAAAGAAATAATAACATTGTTCAATTAAGACAGTTGTGCACTAGGAAACAAAAGAACATATTTTAGCAACATTTCAAAAACTTTTTATTAGCGCGGATCCAGTACGTTAATTTATTTGCAAAAAAAAGCTATTTACCTACTGTTAAAAACGATATACCTTAAAAGTGTTCTCTCAGTTTTTGCCGCTTTTCTTAAAATGTTTCAATTGGAATAATATTTTTTATTTTTGATTATTAAAATGTAAGTCGTTACGAAAATTTTGCTACCCCGCGCACCTCTGTACGATGAAAAAAATAGATTTTTCATCCCCTTGAAAAATAGATGGTTTTTTTTTCAGAAATCGTGAGATCTTGGAAACGTTTCAACTTTACAGGCCCAAAAAATTATCTTCTTTTTTTATCATAAAACAAGCTATGTTTCCTCCAGTTTTTCCGGTTTTTCTAGGAAAATTGGAGGTTATGTGAAAATAGTGCAGATACAAAAGTTGCTCATTTTATTAATGTTAACTTTTATATTTAACATTTTCGTCTAAAATTAATAGTTTTGCCACAATTTGCAAAACACCAGTTTCCACCCCTTTCAACCACCGGGATTTCACCCGCGGAAAAATTCAGCTGTTTCAATTATTTTTTTCCCAATTTCTATTCATTTCACCTACCTGAAAAACCCGGTTTTGCTAGGTAACTAATTTTTTTTTAAATAAATTATTTTAGAGCTATTTAGCCTGGACTATTGCAGAAGTGTATTAATTTCTTGCAAACGAACTCAGAAGATTTGTCCCTATCAATTTGCACTGGCAAATAATTGTGTGTGGGGGGGGGGGGGGGAGTATCTGAAACCACCACCCTGTATAATTTAAGAATTATTTTCAAACTTTTAATTTAAAGTATTTACGGCTGAGTGGGTGATTAATTGTTATTTTCGCAGCGACGGTAACACCAAGTTGCAGCATGAAGGAGCCAAACCGCCCCCACGAACATGACTGTTACTTATATTATCAATGCGATGAAACCGAACATGGTCTCGATCTAGTGGAGAAGACGTGCGGAACGGAGCTGATGTTCAATCCCATGACATTAGAATGCGATTATCCTGATCAAGTGGCCGAAATCAAACCGGAGTGCGAGACCGAGCACACTAGAACTCCAATTACGGAAGAATGTGCCGTTTCCGATCCGAACCGAGCAATAACCGATGACTGTTACGATTACTATCGGTGCGAAGAGAAGGAAAATGTTCCGGCGTTTGTCCGAAAATCCTGCAAACCGGAGTTCATGTTCAATCCTGTTACGTTACAATGCGATTTCTCCGAAAATGTGGTGATTGTGGCTCCGAACTGTGAAGAAAATAGTAAGTTTCCTTTTCTTTATCTGGATTAGTTTAATGCGATTTTGTCGATCCAGTACCGACTGTCGCTCCGGTTTGTGACATGAGCCGACCGGTGAAACCACATCCGTCCGACTGTTACTTGTATTACAAATGCGAGGAGACCGAAGATGGTGCGGAACTAAAGGGAAGAACTTGCGGTCCGATGTTGATGTTTAATTCCGCTAAGCTCAAATGCGATTTCCCAGTCAACGTTGTTAAAGTCAGACCGGAATGTGCGAACGAAGCCACCACCACGACTGGTATGCAACTTTTTGGCTTCGGTTTCTCTTACCGACTTTCAAATTTCAGAAGCCACCACGGCGATCGAAATTTGTCAAATGACCGACGCTAAACGACCCCATATCTCCGATTGCTTTATCTACTACCAATGCGAAGAAACTGAGCACGGAAACGATTTAGTTGAACAGACTTGCGGTCCCACTTTGATGTTTAATCCCTTAACGTTGCAATGTGATTCGCCAACAAGCGTTGAGAAAGTGAAACCGGAGTGCGAGGTAGAAGAAAAAACAACAACTGTCAAGGGTAAGACTGTTTTTAAGTTTTCAAAGATGAAGGTCTACTGCCGTTCGTTTCAGAAACGGTGACAGTTGCGCCAGTGTGTGACGTTAACCAACCAAATGTGCCGGACCTTACAGATTGTTACAAATACTACCGATGCCAAGAAAAGGAAAATGGAGTTGAGATGGTTACCAAAACGTGTTATCCCGAGTTCATGTTTGACACTGTCTCGCTAAAATGCGAGTTTCCAGAGCAAGTGGCAGTAGTAAGACCAGAGTGTGAGATAGGTATGTTGTCTTTTCCCCTTCTGCACTGCAAAACTATCAATTTTCAGTAACAGAGGTGCCAGTTACTGCTGTCTGCGACTCATCACAACCCAACAAACCCCATGCTTCGGATTGCTACTTGTACTATCGTTGCGAGGAGAAAGAGGGAGGTACGGCGCTGGTTGGAAGAACTTGTGGACCGATGCTGATGTTCAATCCCGCTACGCTTAAATGCGATTTCCCAGTCAACGTTATTAAAGTCAAACCCGAGTGTGAGGAACCCAATGGTTACGACGAGTGTCGTGTGAGTGATCCATACCGTGCTGACCCTACCAACTGTTACCAATACGTCAAATGTGAAGATACGGAGGACGGATTTACGAAAGTAACGCACACGTGCGCTGATGATTTAATGTTCAATCCTGTAAGTTTGGAATGCGATTCCCCGGACAATGTCGCGGAAATCAAACCGGAGTGCGAAATTTGGAGGACAAGGCTGCCAACCACGCAACAATGCGACGTTTCCGAACCCAACAGACCAGGAGAGGATTGTTACACTTACCACCGTTGTGAGGAAAGAGACGGCGTTGCTGTTGAAGTTCAAAAATCATGTAAACCGGAATTCATGTTCAATCCGAAAACGCTGCAGTGCGATTTCCCAGACAACGTTGGTGTAATTAAAGAGGAATGTATAGAAGGTGAAAGCAAAGTTGATCAATCTTATACTGAACTAACGAGGTATATTTTTCAGTCATTCCAACCGTGAAACCGACATGCGACGTTAGCGTCCCCAATAAACCGCATCCCTCTGATTGTTATCTGTACTATCGTTGCGAAGAGACCGAAACCGGCGGTGAGCTCATTGGGAAGACCTGCGGACCGATGCTGATGTTCAATACTGCAACACTTAAGTGTGACTTCCCCTACAACGTTGCCAAAGTCAGACCCGAATGTGCAGGTGCTACCTCTACAAGCACAGGTAAGACCATCGATTGATATTTTCCGCTTTAAAATTGATTTCTCTTTAGAAGCTACCGTGACTGCAATTTGCGAGATGACGGACGCCAAACTGCCACACGTGTCCGACTGCCACATCTACTACGTCTGTGAAGAAACGGAGGATGGAAATGACTTGATCCAAGACACTTGCGGTCCCATGCAGATGTTTAATCCGATGTCCTTAAAATGTGATTTCCCAGTGAACGTTGGTAAAGTAAGACCGGAATGTGCCGAAGTGGAATCTACTACTAGCGAATCAGGTTTGTACCAAATTTGAACATTCTCAATCAGTGCTGATGTGTGTACAGTTACGACAGCCACTTCCCCATCGTGCGATGTCCACGGAGAAAACGAAATGGATCCCACCGACTGTTACAAATACTACCACTGCGAAGAGAGGGAGAATGGCCTGCAGGTCGTTACGAAAACTTGCTACCCAGAATTCATGTTTAATCCGATTACTATGCAATGTGATTTTGCCGAACATGTTTTATTCGTCAGACCGGAGTGTGAAGGTTTGTCAGCATGCGCTGTATTACCCCCCAACTATTTTAATGGGGATTTGTCTACAGAACCAACAGTACATGAAGTGTGCGACACAACCCAGCCAAATAAACCTCATGCTTCGGACTGTTACCTTTACTACCGTTGTGAGATAAAAGGGGATACAGGCGAACTGACAGGCAGAACTTGTGGTCCGATGTTAATGTTTAACCCCAAAACACTAAAATGCGATTTCCCTGTAAACGTTGTAAAAATTAGGCCTGAATGTGTGCCTACAACAGTCACAACTATCGGTGAGTAACTTGCGGGTATTTTTCTGTTTGGTTATTTTTGATAATTTAGAGCCGCGGGTTTGCGAATTGATGGACGCCAAACGACCTCACGCATCCGACTGCTACATCTACTATCAATGCAAAGAGACTGAGGACGGAAACGACATAGTGGAAGATACCTGTGGGCCTACGTTGATGTTTAACCCGGTGACTCTGAAATGCGATTTTCCCGCAAACGTGGGAAAAGTAAAGCCTCAATGCGCAGAAGAAAATCCGTGTGGTGAAGGGGAAGTTCTTGATAAATGCGCTATTGACTGCAGCAGATTGTGTCATTACTACGGATTCACGATAACGTCCAAAGAAGCTTGCGCTAATAACGAAGGATGTGTTGAAGGATGTGTCCCGTCCGACCAGCGGTGTGGACCTGGAATGTACTGGTCTGATGACAAAACGTGTGTGTCTAAAAAAGACTGCATGTGCTCCTCTAATGATGGGAAGCCTGTCCAGGTAACTGTTAAAGGTGCTTTCTCGAAAAATTCAACTTGTGTTTCAGCCCGGTGTCGTTGTGAAGGAATCCCACTGCAAGATTTGTCAATGTATCGATAATTTCTATACTTGTGATGAAAGCGCGTGTACCACCACTACTTATCGGCCAGCTACATCTACAAGATTCACTTTCCCAACGCAACCAGTCACTTATGGATCTACAACACTCAGTCCGCCATTAGCTTGCTTAGAGACTAGGTAAGTAGGAACACTGCAGTGTTGTATCTGAACCGCCCTCTACTTTAGCACGATAAACTTGATTGACGGAGATCGTCCCCTTCCTGGCACCTCGCTCACCGCAAGCAGTGAAAAAGATGAAACATTCGCGCCAGAGAACTCCAGATTCAGTATAAAAGATACAAAGGAATCTCCGGGCGTTTGGGTTCCGGATATCAATGACAAAAATCCATTCCTGGAGGTACACTTGGACAGCTATGAACCGATCTATGGAATTTCAATTAAGGGATCCCCCGTGCTCGATCAATACGTAACGAGTTACGAAGTAACTTACAGTTTTGACTTTGGCGTAACTTTTGAACCAATCTTGGATGATAACATCCAAAAACCGAAGGTTTTCCCTGGTCCGACAAACGCAAAAAAAACCTCAACCATCTATCTGACGGTACCTGTCGAAGCCACTAACATTCGGATTTATCCTCTTACATTTGAAAACGCTCCTGCACTGAAGGTGGAACTTATCGGATGTGCACAAGTAACCAGAGGATTGGAAGTCGTTACAGCTGTAGAACCCATATGTAAAGATAAAATGGGGGTTGATAACGGTGTATGGTCGGTAAATCAAATTACCGTAAGTTCCGCAATTGATGACAACCATGACAAAGAATCTCTTCCTTCGGGAGGCTCTTGGCAACCCAATACTAATAGCCCAACGGAATGGATACAGGTACATATCGTCATGTAACTTCCTAGTCACAATTCAGTTTTTAGTTCGACTTCCTTGAACCACGTACACTGACCGGTGTCGAGATACAAGGCGGCGACAACGGATGGGTTACCGAATATAAAATCATTTATTCGCATGACGGCAAAAACTGGAATCCAATCCAAGACACCCACGGGCAAGAACGCATTTTCGTCGGAAATGTGGATAATGACACGCCACAAACAAATTACCTAAAAGAACCGATTCGAGCCAGATACATTAGAATAATTCCATTGCACTGGCACGCCAATATTGACATGAGAGTAGAACCTCTCGGTTGCTTCGAGCCATATCGTATGTCATTGCATCTCATTTGAGAGTGTAGTAATTTGATTTTCTTACAGTTATACCTTTGGAGACAACCACCGAAACTGCCACAGTGAAAATATGTAACGTCTGCTCTGGAGTGGTACTGCCCGAGGACGAAAATTGTCCGTGCTCGAACAGTGAGTTGTGGGACGGAAAAGCTTGCGTTGAGCGCAATTATTGTCCGTGTGTTGATAATTCTGTTAGGTAAGCGTACCTAATCTACGATCTTTTCGTCATTCTCAGCCTTTCAGTTATCCAGTGGGTAGCATTTATGAAAACGAAGACTGTGAAGAATGCGTCTGTAAGCTGGGCGGATTTATTCACTGTAGCAAAAAGGTTTGCAGCCCATGCGCGGCCGACTTGAGGAGTGTCCTTACGAAAACGTGTACTTGCAATTGCGTGCCTTGCGAACCGGGAACTAGGCTCTGCCCCACAAGCGGTATTTGTATCAATCAAGAATACTGGTGCAACGGTATTAGGGACTGTCCAGACGACGAAACTGGATGCACAACCACAGTTGAAGCGACAGAACCGCCTTCGACAACCGAAACCGACATCGACGAGTTCTGTGGAATACCCGATTGCGTCGAAAGGTACCACCCGGTCAATGTAAGCGGATACGATTCAATACCGTGGAACCGGCTTACCGGATTTAGTAAAACGGTAGTTGAAGTTGCCGAGGAAGGTTCGATTAAGCAAATCAGCACAGGTAGTTATGCACCGCGAACTCTTATTGTTTGACATACTGTTTCCAGTGTGGGGAATTGCAATTATACGCAAACAATTGCTGAAAGAGAACACAATTGACGAAGAATGTTCCCTGTACGAATGCTGGCCCGAATTTCCAAACGAAAAGGAGTGCCCACAGATTGAATGTCCTCCCGGAAAAGTCGTGATACACGTCCTTACTATCCCGGAAACGAATTGCAAGAGATACAGATGCGTGGATAAACCCAAGGATGAAGTATGCAACGTTACAGGTAACGTCTTTACAACCTTCGACGATGTCCGTTACAAGTACGACATCTGCGATCACGTTTTGGTTCGTGATATGCTCGACGGAGCGTGGCTAATATCGAGTAAGGCACCCCCTTTTTTATTTGTCTCTTATTATCTGCAACGAATTTTTAGTGGCGAAAGATTGCACTGCGGACCGCTGCTCTCGACACATTGTAATCCACCATGATTCCGCTACAATCACCCTCAACGCAGACCTATCGGTTACGTACAACGGGCAAAAGTTCGGCAAGAACGATCTCAAAAAGTTGGAGTTTATCGCCCGTACTAGAGCTTTCGACGTCGTACTCTTGGGCGATTCCATTCTGTTCACGTCGAACAAGTACGGCTTTTGGATCATCTGGGATAATCAGCAGAACGTAAGGGTGGGAGTGAGTCCGAAATTGGAGTCGATGATAGACGGATTGTGCGGATACTTCAATCGGAACCCGTCGGACGATAAGATGACACCGGAAGGTGACGTTACGAAAACTACAATTGAATTTGGCGATAGCTGGAAGAATAAGGACACGTCGGTGGTTTGCGAGCCCGAGGTGTGCACAAAGGAGATGAAGGATGAAGCGGTCGTGCTGTGCCAGATTGTTAAGTAAGTTAAATGTCCCAATTTTTTGAAGGTGATTATTATATCGGATTCATGGCTCATTGGGTTATGAATCCGAAGGTCGGGTGTTCGAACCTGGGTTGAGGTGAATTTTTCATCTGCATTCTACCGGCTACTCCGAATTAGGTTTTCCTGCAGTTTTCCTAATTCGTAAGGTAAATACCGGAGTAGTATAGACCAACTTAAGACCTTCTGCAGAGGCACCTTCTAAATAGCATTATGCGGGTCACTCTGTAATTGGGCGCATGCCTGTTGAGGGCCCAAAACAAGAGAGGGATAATAATAATAATAAAGAAATTAAAAAAAATTCTACCAAAATTTAGAAAATACCGTATTCTTTTAGAAATACAGAGTTTAACCAACCACAATATTTCTTTCTACAAGCTTATATTTACAAAATGGATACAAGACTGAAGCTTAATTTTTATTGACAGTTTTTGACATACGTATACTTACTCGATAATTTTACATTCTCCCACAATTGACACCACAAGTTTCAATTCACGTTCAACTTCTATCTTCTGTGTATCAACTTCTGTTTTCCAACAATGACGTCATCAATGTAGTCCTCGAAGGGTTCACTTCCAATGGGTACAAATTTTGAATGGGTTTTGTTTGTAGTCCTACTTCTGTTTTCACTTTGACTACTCGAGCAATTCCATCTTTACCGTGGATCAATTCCATAACACGACCTAACGGCCAAAATACACGTTTCTTCCGGTCATCTCGAACAAGTATAATTTCATTTAATTCCAACTTACGAGATGGCTTCTGATTTATTCTACTTATGAGCTGGGACAAATATTCCTTTCGAAAACGTTGTCGTAACTCATCTCTCAGTTTCTTCATGTACTTCCATCGATAATTTAGATTTTCAGAATACATATCTCCTTCCGGGAACTTGAGTCCACATTCGTTTGACATAAACATGGAGGGAATTAGGGGTTCTAATTCGTCGTTATCTTCACTAACATACGTTAGCGGTCTCCCGTTGATCACCTCTTCCATAATAAGCAATGAATCATCTAATTCCTTCCTATTGAGAGTAGACTTTCCAATAGATCGTTTCATCATATCTTTCAGGATCCGGATGATACGTTCCCAATATCCACCCCACCACGGGGCGGCAGCAACATTGAATTTCCACTGAATTTTTTCTAAAAAAGTATCTTTTCCAATAACTTTCCAATCCAATGATTTGGAGAAGTTACTGCATCCTTGAAAGTTAGTTCCGTTGTCACTCATCACAAGTCTTGGTCTTCCTTCTAATCTAATAAATTGTTTGAAAGCTCCAATGAAGGCTTCCGTAGACAATGAATTGACAACTTCTAATCTGACAGCTCGAAACACTGCACAAGTGAATATGATGATCCATACTTTCTTTTGATTTTTTAGATATAAGGGGCCTGTTGCATCCACTCCAACTATTTCAAATACTTTATTAGCTTCTAGTCGTTCCAAAGGTAGAGGTGAGGGTAACACAGTAACATTTTTAGCACCAACTTTTCTACATTTTACACATCCGAAAATAACAGATTGTACCGTTCGTCGTGCTTTCATGACCCAATATTTTTCTCTCAATTTAGTCATCACAATTCCGACTCCAGCGTGGTATAACTTCTTATGTACATCAAAAATCAACTGTTGAACTAATGGATTTTTTCCATGAAGAATGGCAGGGAACTTGAAACTTTCTACATCTTCCAATAAAACAATCTTAGTTTTAACTCTCATAATCCCAAATTGGTCTACACAAATATCGAGTCTACGTAGGGTTTTCTCATCCAACGGATGATCATCTTGAATATATTTAATTAAGATAATTTCTACTTTCTCTAGCTCTTCAAATGTCAATTCACCATCTACTTTAGGTTTATTCCTTACTTTTTTTTAGCAAATTACCAATGAAGCGATATACCCATCCAAATATCTTGACATGTGTCATAAAAGTACAGAGTGAGCAACAAAGATTGAAGCGTGCCGCTTCAGCTAAATTGGCAATGTGCCGCTCATAGCATATGCTGATTTGATACAAGATACGAAATACGAATAGACGCACGTCACTGTGACAGCGCAGAACGTCATTTTCGTATACAACTCCATACAAAGAAGGTAGTTTTGATATTAATAGGAACAAGCGGTGATGACGCACGCTTCAATCATTGTTGCTCACACTGTATAAACTTCTTAGTACAATTTTGCACAGTCAATGACATACTGACTCCTACATTTTCTGTCTTTTTCAATTCAGAATTTACTAAATCTTCAGCAACTTCTTCATTAGACCTAGGCGAGACTTAGCAGAAATCAGGTGTATTGAAACTCCTCCCACATGTTCCACGCGGAGAAAAATCACAGCACCATACGCCAAACCACTTGCATCCGTAAAAACGTGAAATGACCATTTACTTCGATCAAATTCACCTCCAGTTACACATCTAGGAATTCTGACTTGACTTAACAAATGTAGTTGTTCATACCATTCCGTCAATTTATTTTTCTCTAATAATTCTCTAATGTAAACTTGAAGTAGTAAATCTTCATTCCCGTATCTTCGTTTAAGAGCTTCAATTACCTTAGGATAGTTTTCATTTGACTGGGGATAGCTACTTGCTATCTCATGTGCATCGGTTCCAGGTAAAAGTGACTGAAGTAAATACTGAAACTTATCACTGCCGTGCAAAGAACTATCTTGGTCAATTTTTTCAAATTGAGCCCAATATCCTAACCAATCCTTGAACTCTCCTGAAAATTTCTTCAACTCGATCTTGGGTAATCGAAATCCTCTTGCTCCACCTTCAGATCCAAATGTAATACTGGATGGGGGCAATACGACTGGTACCAAAGATTCTATGATTTCTTCAGCTTTAAAACAAGTTGTCATTATTTGCTGTCTCATTTCTATAATAGCTTCATATTCCGTGTCTTGATCCGTTTCGTCAACTCCATCATCCACCATCTGACCTAAAATCTTCTGGTCTAACTCTGCTAAGTTAATCTGTTCCTCATTCAGTGTCTTCAGTACAAACTGAATCCTTTCCTTCGAAATTGGTTCCACTTGGAACAGTCTGTTTAACTCAGCGATCCTCTTTTTAGCTCCATTCCGAACTGGTCGTCTGGCTCTCTGAAGGGCATCCATGGTAGATACGTTTCAACATTTCGGGGTCACCAAATATTCTTTTAGAAATACAGAGTTTAACCAACCACAATATTTCTTTCTAAATCTAAATCTAAGTCAAATACATCAACAACAACATCATCCACTCATGGAAACGCAGAAGAAGGAACAATGGTCGAAAAAAGCGCTACACGGCAAACATTACAATATCATGCAGAATCCGCAAATAGATAAACAGCTATCATATGAATGGCTTAAAAAAGGTCAACTTTTCCCAGAAACCGAAGGATTCATACTAGCCATACAAGACAACGTTATAGCAACACGTAACTATAGAAAATATATAATCAAGGAAGCATTAGAAACAGACACATGCAGAAAATGCCAACAAACATCAGAGACCATAGAACACATCACGGGGGGATGTAAACTATTAGGGGGTACAGAATACACCGAAAGACACAACACGGCTGCCAAAATAATACATCAAGAACTAGCATACAAACACAAACTCATTGAAACAGAAATACCCTATTACAGATACACACCACAAAATGTACTTGAAAACAAAACACACAAACTCTACTAGGACAGGACAGTACATACGGACAGAACAGTGACTAGTAATCGACCAGACATCACACTGATAGACAAAGTACACCAAGAAACATTTATAATAGATGTTGCAATACCAAACGACACCAATGTAATAACAAAGGAGCAGGAAAAGATTACAAAGTACTTACCATTGGCCATAGAAGTAAAAGAACTCTGGCAACAGCATAAGGCAACAATAGTTCCACTCATCATCTCAGTCACAGGAGTTACTAGCAAAAACTTTTTGCAACATTTTAAAAAACTTGACATTCACCCATACTTACACACAAAAATACAAAAAGCAGTACTTCTGAAAACGGCATCCATAACTCGAACATTTCTACAGCAATAGATATACTCTACTTTTGACTTGGTAATTACCCGTCATCTGTAGGTCAACCGCATAAAGCGAGAAAAAGCTAAAATAATAATAATAATAATAACCGATTGCAGGGAGGAAGCTTTCATTGAATGCGCAGAATCCGTGAACGTAGACGTATTTTTGGCGGAGTGCATTGAAAACACTTGCAATTGCGTAAATGGAGGAAAAAGCAAAGACGAATGTCTCTGCCAAGCATTGGAAAATTTCGTTGTTCAATGCGAAGCGCATAATCCACTAATAGAGCTTTGGGATTGGAGAACAAAGTATCATTGTCGTAAGTGCTCAGCCCCTTTGCTGCCGGCGGCGTATAAAAATGCTTCTTCTAGCGACGATCTGCGAACCCCCCTCTGTACATTACGACTGTTACAACAAGATTTGCGAACCGACCTGTGGCAACATTTACAGTTGTCCTAAAGTAGACGAGTTCTGCTTCCCGGGATGTTACTGTCCACCGGGCTACGTGCGAAAAGGCAAAGAGTGCGTGGTGCCAAACGACTGTGAAGACTGTGTTTGCCACGTGTTACCCCACTTGAAGTATATTACATACGACAAGGGATCATTTACTATTGATGGCGAATGTGAGTACATAGTGACTCAGGATATACCCGACGAACAAGGCGAAAATACCTTCACTGTAAGTATCAAAATATTCTCACACTATCTCCACATTTAACATCCGGCAGGTCCTCGCGAAGAATGCCAAGTGCACTTATGACAAAACCCAAATTTGCGTTGAACACATCAGAATCGTGTACGAAGACAAAGAAATTAAGGTTCAAAAGAACGATCTCGTCGATAAGCCCGATATCTTGGTGAACGGCGTCTCTGTATCGGACTTCAATACGGATTGGGCTAAGATAGAAACCGAGCCCAACAAAAACGTCCAAGTTAGACTACCAGAAGTACCGGCCAAGGTAGGTATACCGTCGCATGCTACTCATTCGTCTAATACCTCCCGTCTCAGGTCACCATATTCTATCCCTCGCTCTCCATCACCGTTGCGCTTCCGTCGGTTAAGTACGGCGGCAAACTGGAGGGCTTGTGTGGAAACTGCAACGAAAACCCACACGACGACTTCGTTATGCCCAACAGGACTATCGCCGAGACGAACGAGCAGTTTGGCGAGAGCTGGCTTTCCGATCAGAACAAGGAGGCGGACTGCAAAATTGTGCCACCGGTCGTTTGCGAAAACACCGGTGACGTTACGTGCAAAATTTTGGTATCCGACAGATTCCAAGAGGTAAGTAAGCGCAACAGAACGCGCAATGCTACAGAACTGAGCTTGAGGATTATTTGATTTAAGTGATGCGATTAGTGTGTCTCTTAACCGTTTCCCTCAGATCTGCACCACATGCTACAAGAGCCGGTAAGGGAACGTGAATGACTTTCAGGAGCAGCTTTGACATCCTTTGACCCTTCAAGTGTTTTCTAATGGTGTAACGTCTTAGTTAGGGTTTTGACAGCTAGCAAAAAGCACTAATTAATTGTCTTTAGACTTTTTATCAGGTGGCGTTTAATTCAGAATCTTATTATCGCCCCATATAAACAAGAGAGGCGCACAATTTTGGTTAATAAACTTGTTTTTTTTATCGTACCACTGCAAGTATAAACGCAATGAAACACTTTGTACTTTTGACCCCTATACTTTCGTGATAAAATTTAATTAAGCGTTAATACTATATTTTCGTCGAATTAGCGGCACAGTTTTCCCTTGTAATTCGTCAATTAACCTCAACTTTCGCAATAAAAGTCTCCCGTATGATTGCGGGCTGTTAAATCTTCCGTATAGTTCGATTATGCGAATTCGGCTTGAAACTTTCCGTCGAAAATACATGCTCCGCTATCTATAATGCCACGCTCGACTTACATAGGTTCGCTTTTAAGGTTCAGGGAAAAGTCTCTCTCTCTCCCTCGCACCCAATTTTTGCTAATATAGTCGCCGAGCCCAAAAACCTAAATGGACCCAACGAAAACCAAGAATCGGTCACGTTTTTAGCGCATTTTCCGATTTTAATTCGATTCGATAGTGGCACCTGAGCCAAGGAAAATCGATTAAACTGCGCATGCGCAGGTTGCGCAATATCAACTTTTTTACTTATTAATATATTTTGTTGAAATTTTAACCACAGATACTTCTAGTAGAGGTAAATATATTGCATATAGGAAAAATCAGATGTGCAAACTTTCTTCTTTATGGAGATATTTCTTTGAAATTTTAACCGAAGATGCTTTTAGTAAAAACAAACGTATCGCATGTTGTAAATATCAGATAAATATCAACTGTCCTATTTATCGAGATATCTTTTTGAAATTTTAATCACAAATGTTTCTGTTAAAGACAAACATATCTGATATTGCGATCATTAGCTGGGCGCATACGTAGTCAGTGCCAACTTCCTTATTTCTTTGAAATTTTAACCATAGATGCTTCTAGTAAAGAAAAACATATCACATGTAGTAAGCATCGAAAACTACAAATGTCATTAGCAAAGACAAACACATCGCACACAGTAAAAATCAAATGCGCGCATGCCAACTTTTTCACTTATGAAGATCTCTCTCTGTCTCTCTCTAACCATAGACGCTTCTAATAAAAATAGTAAACATCGCATTCCTTTTCAATTGTTTATACATGCAAGGGTATAGCAGAAAATCCGTCCCTCTTTCCCCCTAAGAACCGTCTTTTAGAACCGGCATCACTGTGACGCCTTGAGTCCTATCTGCGTGCACACTCGCGTCTCACCTGAAAGCGCTTCATTCTGGTGCATTTTAGTTCTGCTCTTGTTCACTATGAAGCGGTATAAAATTTTATATAGGTACTTACTGGCAAGTCTCTAAATTCGAAACCAAATGTTTCCAAGCCAAAAGAGGCCACTTGCTACAGGGATTCGCGTCGACTTTAAAATCCATAGCTTCATAGACACCTTCGACAAAGGTAAAAATAACGTATTAACCACGTTTCTGGCCCAACGTTTGAGGGCTAGAGGTAGAGGGAGGACTTTGAACTTTCGCTGTCTATCAGTCACAAAGTCAAGTTAGACGAGTAAACGCAGTGCGGTTTCTATCGCAACAGCAATTCATATTTTTTGTGCAATTTTCCTCCCTTAATCAAGTCACCCCACTGTTTTGTAACAACCCGCCAATATGGGATTGGCCCTCCACGTTTACGACTCAAATTAACTCCGCGCACTTTGAGGTGTGTTTTTTGAGAAATGTTTTGATTACTCCCCTTGTGTCCCATTCGGAACCTGGGCGCTTCTAAACAAAAGTCTACTTGTAGGACCAGCCACGTAACGATTGCAATTCGAGCGCCTATTGTAACGAATCAGAGAGTACTGTTTTGTAGTTTCTTGGTGAAAGATCATTACCACATGAGGGGAATTTATAGGGGACACCTCACGGAAATTATTCTTAATTGACACATAGAAATATAGTCCAAATGCTCTTTAATCTTTATTAATAACAGAACGTTAGTTTTGTAGTGGTCAAGAAATAATAATGATAATAATAATATATTTATCGTTTTCGTTGAATACAATTTTTGAGGTTGTACCGATTGGAATAATAATAACCATCTTGTATCATTGTATACTTTGGAAACGCATCCTTAAATGAACTGTAATTTTTAGTGCAACGCAGAATTAGATCCGAACCTCTTCTTTGAATGGTGTAATGAAGACAGTTGCCATGATAAACCCATCGTCGTGTGCGACGCGATTGAAGCGTATGCACGGGAATGTCTCACTTTAGGAATCTGCGTGGATTGGCATTCTGAATTGTGTCCGGCCTCGTGTCCCTCAGGCTTAGAGTATAAATCGTGCGAGTCCAGCTGCGGACGAACGTGTGACAGTTTGGATAATGAAAGTTGTTCCGAGCTCAGTATCGATGGGTGCTACTGTCCCGAGGGCCAGGTGAGAGTATGGCAATTTGACAGTTGGTGACCTCTCCCTTTAGGCGTTACTTAATGGAACCAGCTGCGTGCCGATCGACAAGTGTAAAACATGCGACGCCGAGGGACATTATCCTGGAGACACTTGGCAACCTGACATCTGCACGACATGCACATGTGATACTTCCAAGGTGAGCTGTACCAAAGTAACATGTCCTTCGACCGAAAACGTATGCCAGGATGGTTTCGAAATGGTCACAGTTCCCGCGCCGGACGAGTGCTGCGACAAATTCCTCTGCGGTAAGACATAGCTAACGTGAAAATATATACATTTCCGCTTTAGTGGCAATCACAACAACCGCCAGGCCTTGCGATCCTCCGGTGCAAATACCTTGCGCCGCAGACCAGGCAGTAAAACTAATAACGAAGTCGGACGGCTGCGCGCAATTTGTCTGCGAATGCAAGCCACCCCAAGATTGTCCGGCTCTTCATCTCGAAACCTTACCGGTACCGGAAGTTGGCGTGGTCAACGAAATAGACAATAGCGGATGCTGTCCCACGGTGAAAGAATCTTGTAAGCTCGACGCGTGTCCGCCAAAACCTGCATGCCAACAGTTCTATACGGTGGTTTCGAAACAGGGCGCCTGTTGCGAATTATACTCTTGTGAACCTCCAAAAGATCAATGTATCGTTGCTTTAAAGTATAAGGACGGCGAAGTTGGTGGTGAAGCAAGAGTACCGCAAGATGATGTTACATTGGTACTAAAAGAAAAGGGCGAAAGTTGGAAGGATGGACCGTGTCGTCGCTGCAAGTGTATCCTAACTCCAAGCGGTGCATTGTACGAGTCTTGTACAAAATCCGATTGCGCACCGCCTCCTGACGATTTTAACTACAAGTACGAGCCAGTTGGGGTACCCGGAGAATGTTGCCCGATATACATGCAAGTCGGATGCGTTATCGATGGACTCGTCCACGAGATTGGTGACATTTGGACTGTCGAAAACGACTATTGCGTCACCTTCCACTGTAATGAGACTACCACCGGCGTAGAGACAGTGAAGCAAGTGAAACATTGCGCGACAAAATGCGAACTTGGATCCGAATACGTTGCCGCGTCAGATGAGGATAAAACGTGTTGCGGCTCGTGTAAGGTGGTGGGGTGTGTCATGGACGACGTGGTTTATCCAATTGGAGATGAGTGGACATCTGACGATCACTGCACTGATTACGTTTGCACGAACGAAACCAATCTGGTAGGTCTCCAAATCTGGGTTATCCCATACAATCGGTCTTTTAGGTACATATCAAATCCAATACGATAACTTGTCCAAAAATACCCGATGATATTAACGCTAATTTTGTGGTCGAAGAGGTTACAGTACCGGAATCCTGCTGCAAAGAATTCAGACCAACAGCGTGTAAAGTGGACGGTAATGTGTACCAGGTAAGATTTATCCCACTGTTTAACTTTGTTTGGCATAAGCAATAAATCTTAGATTGGAGAAAGCTGGCCGTCGCCGGACGGTGACAAATGCAAGAATATTACGTGTATTCAAAATGCTTTGAACCATGTCAAAAAAGAGGTAGTGACGGAGACCTGTAAGACCGAGTGCAAGCTAGGTTGGGAGTACGAGGAGTCGAGCTCCCAGTGTTGTGGAGCATGCGTACAGACCGCTTGTGTCATTGATAACGAGCTGAAACAGGTGGGCCAGCAATGGACGTCGGAAGATGGTTGTTCCGTTTCCAGCTGCGAACTTCTGCAAGGACAATTTTCGATTATGACCACGACAGAGTCTTGTCCCGACGTTAGCGAATGTGCTCCGGAAAATCTGTACCAGCTGGGATGCTGCGAACACTGCAACGTGACCACGGAACCCTCGCGTAAGATCAAACGTGCTTCGTGCTCGCATACGATTGCAATATTTCAATTGTAGACAACTGCGTCGTTCAACCACTTAATCTGGAAGACACCGTTGGCTTAATTGTCGAAACTAATGATCACGGGAATTGCGTGAATAAAGGCGAATTGCCTGGCATGACCGAATGCGTTGGCGGCTGCGATTCGTCCACCAAATATAACAAACGTAAGCGAATTTTTCAGCGGAAACAGTCCAATAATAATATCGTTTCAGTGGAAGCGCAGTACGAGTCCCAGTGTTCTTGTTGTCAAGCTGAAAACTACGAGACAATTTCCATAGAGTTAGACTGCGAAGATGGATTTGTTTTAAAGAGACAGTTCGCTGTCCCCTCGTCATGCAGGTGTATGGAGTGTGGCCTAGAATAAAAACCTTTCAGTAAGCTTCCACGTTTCATAAGGCATAGGTATTAAAGTTATACTATAATGTGATAAGTAATAAATGTAATATTAACATTTTTATTTTGATATTTTTAAAGTTAAAGTTTTTAGCTAGTCTTTCGAATGTGAATTTTAGGAGTTTCCGAAAACCACTTCTGTAGAGAGCCGTTTCGAACGACTAAGTTTGATGGTCTCCGTGTAAAAAATGTTTCGGGCCCTTTTACAAAGGGGGTCTGTATTTACAACCCGAAAAGTTAATCTGCCTTTTATTAAATGATTTGGGCCAAGGGTTGATACTACGGATCTCCAAACTCGTGACGCTACAAATAAAAAAAGTCCCTCATCCCATATTCCTAACGAGAACGAAAACACCTTTCCCCCTATAAAAATCCATTCCATCCAGTCCATCCGGTTTGTCGTCCCTTCTTCACTTTTGTTTGGTAAGAAATATTCCGCTACACCTGATTCGTTAAGTTTTCCTTTTTTTGTTCTCTCACTGCGAATTCTTGAAGTCTAAAGAATGTCAAAGAAGGGTGGCTTTCGCCCTTGCAGTATCCTCGAAAGAATTCATAAAGTCTGCGCCTCTGACCTCTACTGGTACTGAAGGTAATAAATCCACGCCGAATGTACCTTCCAGGTTGGTCTTTTTGTAGTAAAGAAGGCCCTCCTCAATCTTCCATCGCATTCGTCGACCCCTCTTCCCTTGGCGATTGTTACCATTTCGTTACGTTATTGCAAAAGCCCTTCTTTCAGATTTACTTTGTTCCAAAATAAACGACCTGCAATATTTCATTGCTCTTCCTTTCAATCTGCGCTTTTGGTTATACCTCCGCGGGTCCTCCCCACTCTCCTCTTCATCATGTAGCAGCGTTTTTAACTCAAACAACACGTTTTTACAATTTTGCTATGTGGCATGAATACTTTTTTAATGGTAGTTTATTGTCGCCTGGCATTTCCCGAGTGGCTGCCAGAGGTTGGAACCTGAACCGAAAAGAACCGGAACGGATTGAATTTGTAGACGTTCAAGAACTTGTAATCAAGGGAACCGGTACGGTTTGTGGTTTTTTTGTAGTCCGGTCCGGATCGCTGCCTTAAACGCTCCCATATTTCATCCACAAACCCAATTTCCGGTCGAGAAACGAAACCAAGAAATAAAGAAAAGACACCTGTTGGACGGGGATTTCAAAACATGGGAAAAAGTCTTATGCGTCTTCCTCTACACCCTCCGGACGAACCGAAACTCTCAACTCTGCTCTACTAGGGTACGAACTACCTTGACCACAAAAATGACATGCGAAACCAGATCTACCGCCAAAAGTGGTATAAAACAGATGGGTTCAATTTCAATCCATAAGAAGTAAAAAGAACTTCTACTCAATCTGTTTTGAAATCCCTATTGAAGATGAAGGATACAAAATATCCAAACATTAACATGTGTATAAACAAATTTAATATATAGCAATATAATGTACTTTTGCCATGTACTTACTTAAGGCTAGTTTTAGAGTCACACTGACCATCGGCTCTTACAGCTCAGCGCCAGCGCGTAGTTGGTTAGCGCAAGACGTTTCAATATCGTGCCGATCGCCGTGGAGTACAGACACAGGTGACGCAAAATGCGGAGAGCAATAGTAATTGCTGTTTTGTATTACCATTGTTTAAATACCTACTTTAAAGTATATACCTCTGGAAATAAAAAGTCTAATAAGACTGGTTACAAACTCAGAAATTTCTCCCGATGAGAATACAAAACAAAACAAATTGTTTGAGAGGTTCCACCCTGTATATACAACTTACGACGATACATACATTTTTGAGAGTTGGCAACCATGCAATTTCTAGGTGGGGAAAAGCTGCCTGCGCCATCTAGAAAGCACGAACGGGGGTTACGTTGAGCATATTGTCTTGAATGGCGGTCGTGAACGCGTCGCTCCATAAATGTTTGTTGTCATTTTGTGTTATTTAATGCAGGTAGTAATTTTTGCATTTCTTTATATGGTATTTGTGTTTTGTATGCCGCATTTTATATTTTTTGTGTGTTTCAATCTTTGTTTTTGAAATTTACTTGGATTAACCGTAATGCAGAATGACAGGTTTAATACCGTGATCCCTTTGTTTGTACGTTTTTGGTCTAATGTTTGCTTAATTTATGTTTATTAATGTTGATTACTTGGTCTTGTCCCTGAAGTAGCATTCATATAAGTTTTGATCATTTTATTTTAATATGTGGAAATTACCGATTCGTTTGATGTATGTATTGACTTGTTGTTTGTAACTAACAATTTTCTCCATGAATGAAGCAGTCACGGGAGTGGTAAAAACTGTAGTCAAAATTGAGCTACGACACCTAATTCCGTGATTGTCTTCGACATCCAACTGTGGGCTTGAAACCCCGAAACCAGGGGCGGGTTACCTATCTTGCAGGAGCGGGATTACGCTAATCAAACCTCTTCAGTTTAGAATCTATCTGCGATAAATGAGTTACGATTCGTAATTTCCATATATCTTGTTTTAGTTAAATTTACCTACAAGGCTATGTAATTTTCCATCTTGCTTTTAACAAAAGGACTTTCTTGCACCAAAGATGAGTCACATCCTGTGTATTTCACCCTTTCTTAGAATCCTGGTACCTGCTTATCTGACCCAAAACTTGTTTTTAACCTATTTGTTACCTCTTGAAGTTTACTTGCTACTTTTTGCGATGTTATAATTTTATGTTACGTTACGCATTCACATCATTACAAACAATTAATTTTACTACACAATTTAATATTAATTTCACGACTGGTTTTTTTATTGGTAAGTTCTTTTTTTTCCCAGTCTATTTCTATTTTTATTCAGTGAACTACCATTTTCAAAGTTTAGTTTTGCAATGTAATTTATTTCGACTTAAATTTCCGAGCTTTCACAATCTTAATAATTGCGATCATTATTAATCAAACTTTTCACAATTTGAGTGTTCTATTTTACGTTCCTTCCCTACTGTGCTTCATGCCAAAGCGTTGTTTACAACTAACGTAAGGGGGCCCTGTCTTAGATGTCTTATCACGTGCCACTTTTCAAATTTAAGCGGGATCTTGTTTAGTTTTGGAGGGAATAGTCATTCGGGGGGCCATTTTTAAACGTTGCCGGGTTGACTTTGTTTCCGTGTTCTTGTAGTGTGAAGTTAGCGTAGAACCTGGGGGTTATAAGTACACTACATACTTATATGTAACACCCTGTATGGTTATTTTTAAGCATATGTCGGACAGGGACAACACGAGATTTATCTTAACGTAAAGCCATGCGAGTTATCATTAATTTTCTATTTTCGTTGCCCGATGTAGACTTAACAATTTTTACAATTTATGTTCTGAATTTCAGATTTATCCTTCTTTGTAATTTCCATTTTCATATTTCAATAACTATAAAAAGATGAGGTTATTAAACATGAGAAACGAATATCCTTATTTATGAATAAATGAAATGAATACGCTCTATTTAGATTTTATACACGGTTTTTTTTTTAAGATGGGGCCATACAACAATGTCAAGGCATTGAGTTATTTAAAATTGCATCAATTGTTTCAGTCATAGTTTCCTCGCGAATCATCTGCCACAGTACTGTAGAAATTCTTTCTAAATCAACAAATTTATTCAAATGAGATATAAACGTATAAAATTACAATCGATGCTCGAATTGTTTTCCACCGGCATCCAAAAAACACCCTGTATATTCCGTGCTGTTAACCACTGGTAGTTGACAGGCAAGATCACGTGCGCCACTGCTTTGGTCCTTTAATTTTTAGGTTATGTTATTTATAAACACGTGTGATACGAATATTTTCAAAATAAAGTACAAGAATGGCAAAATTATATTTAAGTAAGTAAATTATCGATTATTGTGCATCCATTACAAGTAATCATTTCAGGAAAGAAGTCGAAGAGACAACCGGCGAAGTTAAAATACAAAATTGAAAAGAAAGTGCGTGATCACAATCGGAAAGTGCGCAAGGAAACAAAAAAGGCGAAGCAAAAACAGAAACTCATCCAAGTTCCAAATATTTGCCCATTTAAGGAAGACATATTGAAGGAAGTCGAACGACTTAAAAAAGAAAAGGAAGAAGAACGGAGGCAGCTGCGAGAGGCTGCCAAACTTGAGCGGCAACGAAAGAAAGCCGAGGGACAAACTTTAGAAGGCCTGGTTGCCAACGCACAGGCTCGTGAGGACTTGCACGAAACGTTAAGCCCAGAATCGGATTACAAGGAGGTATCTAAAAAAGAAGAGAGTTCATTAAAGGCGTACTACAAAGAGTTCAAGAAAGTCGTAGAGGCCGCCGACGTCATTTTGGAAGTCGTCGACGCGCGCGATCCCCAAGGTACTCGGTGCATGCAGGTGGAACAGGCGGTTGCGAATTCACCTGGAAATAAACGTCTCGTCCTTGTTCTCAACAAGGCAGATCTGGTCCCTCGTGACATCTTAGATAAGTGGTTGAAATATCTGCGTAAATCTACACCGGCCGTCGCCTTCAAGGCGTCCACACAAAACCAGGCGCACAAGTTAGGCCAGAAGAAGTTCGTAAAGTCAAAGGAGGAGAATGTACTGAAAGGATCCTCGTGTGTTGGTGCGGAACTTTTGATGTCTTTGCTGGCTAATTACTGTCGGAATAAGGGGGTCAAAACGTCGATTACTGTCGGTATTGTCGGTCTACCTAATGTCGGTAAGAGCTCGTTGATCAACAGCTTGAAACGTTCGAAAGCGTGCAATATCGGCGCGACGCCTGGCGTGACACGGGCCATGCAGGAGGTGCAGTTGGATTCGAAGATAAAGCTGTTGGACTCGCCGGGTATTGTGTTTGCGTCGAGCTCTGATGCCAGTGCTTGTTTGCGTAATGCCGTCCGTGTGGCGTCTTTAACTGATCCAATAACGCCGGCAAATTGCATTTTGCAGCGTGTCACCAAGGAGCAGATGATGGAGATGTACGACATTAACGAGTACAGTAGCCCGGAGGAGTTTTACAGCTTGAAGGCGTCGCGAACCGGTCGTTTTAAAAAGGGGGGTGTACCGAATTGTGAAGCGGCAGCACGTGACCTCTTGTCTGATTGGAATCAGTATGACAACCCGTTCGTTTCTCCTGTAGCTAAATGATATTCTTTCAGGGGCAAGATTCGTTACTATACCGTGCCACCTGAGAGCGACGGCGATGTGCACGTTAGTAGTAAGATCATAACCGAAAGCGTCAAGGAGTTTGATTTGGAAAATTTTGAAAGTATGGAGACGGAAGTTTTGAATGAAATTCACGATGCTAAGGATGACAAACGGTCAGGGTTGGTCATTTCTAGTTTTGGACCCGTTACAACAGCAATGGAGGAAGACACTAGCAGTCAACCTGGAGATAAAGATATCGTAAGTATCGGTCCTAGAGCGATGGCCATTCTTCCAATTAAGTAAGAATAGCTTTCGGGGAAGAATGTATGAGAAGATTCACAAAGCCTTACATAAAGAGGTTTGTTTTTGATAGTAAGAACAAAATAGAAACATTTATGAACACTCTTATCTAGATCACTACACTACATCTACTCAATACATGATAGTGTAAAAATATCATATATGTAGCTGTTTGGTAGGATTTTAGATAGATTATTATTATTATTTATTATCTCTCTCTTGTTCTGGGCCCTCAACAGGCTTGCGCCCAATTACAGAGTGACCCGCATAATGATTTTTAGAGGTGCCTCTGCAGAAGGTCTTAAGTTGTTCTATACTACTCCGGTATTTACCTTACGAATTAGGAAAACTGCAGGAAAACTTAATTCGGAGTAGCCGGTAGAATGCTCGAAACTGATCTAAGGAAATTCCCATCTCTGCCACAGATGAAAAATTCACCTCAACCCAGGTTCGAACACCCGACCTCCGGATTTATAGTCCAACGCTCTACGACTTAACCACAAAGCCCGGACAACTCTAAGTACTAAAAATATGTTATAATTAAATTAAAATAATTAAATTATATTGAATTAAAAAATTAAAATAATAGATCGTAATTTGGGATCGATTAAACCCAAAACTAACCATTTACAGATGGAACAAATTTATTCGACATAAATAAAAAAATAGGCACTCAGGGCTACAACAAATACCGTGCAACAAGCGATCGATAGAACAAATTAAATTGACTTCGTTGTAATTAAAATTATAGTATTGGCCATTTGATGATGGACAAAGGAAACTTCTTCTTAAACGTAAAAACGCTTTCACTTAACTTGACTTATCAAATGTAACGTAATACACAACTTCTACAAAACTTTATAAGGCGCTGTTCATACGGAAACGATATAAGATAAGCGATATGTTGTGACGATATATTGCTATGGACGTACAGGGTGTCCCATTAATAAAGGTCACAGGCCATATCTATAGAACCGGTAATTGCACAACTTCGGGAAAAAATTTTTGTTAACAAAAGAGAGAAATTGCTGGAAATTATTTCTGAGTTTCTAGATTTGCCGCTAGAGGGCGTACGATTCATGGTTAAGTAGAAAAATGACTTTTTTTCTAAAATGTAGCATAAAAAATACATGCATTGCAATTTTGCATCATTTTGATGCAGCACATATTGCTTAGGCATGTCAAACTCGCGGCCCCCCGTTCTGAAACCTGCGGCCCATCACGATTTTTGTAAATTATAAAATTTAATCGTACCGTGTGTCCTATTTTGGCTGAGACTGCAGTGTATTTCAGCTGTTTTTAAAGATAGACTTGCGGTTTTGTGAAACTTATAATACCACAAACAGAACTAATCTAGCTGCGTTTGTTTCTGAGATACAGGGTGAAAACGAAAAACCCAAAGTTGGTACTTAGTAAATGTAACACTCTGTATATCTTAACGTCAATTTCTTATCATTCCTTTTCCTGATTACGTTGATCTATCACAACCTGTTTTTTTAAATTTTAGCGATGAAACAATAATAAAAACCTTTTTTACTTCTTTAAATAGTAGGCCATGGATTCATGGGAGATTTTGTTTTGTTTATTGTTGATTGAAAAATGGTAAATAAATATAGGATGATACATTAATGTAATCACGAAAAAGAATGGAACAAAATTGACGTTAACATACAATACAAGGTGTTGCATTTAAAAAATATCAAATTTAGGTCAAATCTCAGAAACAGTTGTCCAAATGTTTTTTTTACGACGTCACTCGATTCTACGTAAAAATGCCTAAAATAGGCAGTTTGTACCTTTTTTCTATCTTACATGGATAGTCAGATTCCACAAAAAGTGCAATTTTTCATATTCACCCTATATCTCAGACTAGTCTCTTATCTTTAAAAACAGCTGGAATACACTGCAGTCTCAACTAAAATAGGACACACGGTACATTTTTTTGAGCGCGCACTAATGATTTTATGATTATTTGCATTTTTTCGTTTTTTTTGTATTATTTTGTTAATAATAAAAAATCAAAATTTGTTTATGTAGACTCTTTTATGATGTGGCCCGCAGTTATAAGTGGAAACCTTAAAATGACCCTTGATGATAAATGAGTTTGACATGCCTGCCTCATAAAATATGATAGGTGGGGGAAACGGAACATCTCTTTAAGGAATTGAATATAACTTCAGATTAGGTTAACAGATTTTCACATAATAGATCTTGTTGGAAAGAGCTCTTTTCGGGGAATCAAATTTTACATGAATAGAGTCTTTTTAGTAAATGGGATGAGTTGTAGAGGGCGCGATGTGACATTAGCATAAACTTTGCAGGTTTTTTTGAAAAGTTCAAATGGAAGGATATAATTATTATACAGGGTGTAGCACCTAAGATCCCTCAGATCATAACTCATTTACCATAAAAGATACCGAAAAAAGTCTTTGCGCAAAATTGTACACAATTACCGTCACCATATTTCTAAAATATTTTTGATCACCAGGGACGTGCTGTATTCCAGTGGCGTATCAAACTTGCATTTTTTTAAATTTAAATTACTAATTTGGAATCCACTTAAAAAAATACTATTTTTTTTATGTAGCATGTTATACACCTAACTTTAACGATTTCGATGTAACCTTTTTTCGGCAAAATTGGACAGTTTTTCGAAATTTTTTTGGAGAGAAACTACATCGCGTAGGCGGCTAAGTTTTGGACTGAGTCATAGGTTAAGACCTCTTCTACGGTCACAATTTTTCTAGGTACTTTATCGAAAAATTAAATTTTTGATTGACCTTCGCCAAATGTCACATTTTTTAAAAAATTTCAAATAGCACCCGTCTAAACAAATTATACCTTTGGGTAGCCAAAGCTATAAATTTTCCACTCATATAATCAAAACCACACATTCCTTAGAAAAATTTCAGAAAAAATCAAGTCAAAACGTCAATTTGTAAAAAAAAAGTTCTTTTCCGAACCCAAGTGTGCCATGATGAAACAAAAGATGTTCAATTGTCACAATTATCAGTAAATTACCGGCAGTGTAACATTGTTTTTTAATAAACAATGCGAAAATGTTCCAAACCCAAGGAGAAATGGTTGGTATGGTATTAATTATTGGAGAATGTTACCGCAATTGTTTGTTGGCGTCAAGAGTACGCTGGGAGATATCCTGACAGAACACATTCAGATTCACGCACGTTTCAGAAGGTATTGAATGTCAAATATGATATTGTTGATGGGAAAATCAACTAGCCAGTCCTTAATGATTTCGAATGTACTTAACATTGGTATGAGAGTGATAGTAACTAAATAATAGACATTGAAAACTGTCTGTTGCCTTTTGCCATTAAATACAACTGTTTATCATTCGTGCAAGACTTCTTTATTTATTTAACCACAGATCTCATCAGATATGTTCAATGAATAAAGGTACAATCGCGCGACTGTGAACCTTATTTATCGCCTCCCTTTGAATTTCAAGAATCTGTTCATGCGTATCGTGTATCGTTTCAGCATGAGCGCCATCTAACAGACAGAACTGACTATCTTACAGAAAACTTTGATACTGACAAATTTGATTGTTTTGCAACAAATAACGTCCAAGCCTCGATTAACATCTACTTACTTCGGCGATAACACATGCTTATCTTGAAGCTAATTAGCATACGCAGAGTTAAGGACTCCTATATAACTTTGACAGTAACATTAAACTTTATCTTTTACTACGTAAATCAAACTTTACAATAAAATGAACAAAGCGATTATTTAAACAAAATTAGCATTTAGCAACATTAAATAATTCACATACGAAATGAAATTGACCTTGAATTCAAATAATATGATCGGATTTGTGTTTAATCCAAATTAACTACGACATTTTAGGCTTTTTGAAATTAAACATACAGGGTGACCCAACATTACTGTAGGTGCTATAACCAAAACGTCCGCATGGCGTAATTTAGAAAACAATAGCAACAAATTTCCATCTAAAATTCCTTTTTTTCCTTACTTAAGTAGTTCTTTTTTCTAGAGGGTTTAGCTCTTTTTCAAGAAGCACAAATTTTTAAATATGACCCCAAATAATTAACACAAAATATATCCGTTAACATTAGTAATTTCAATTGTTTTTCAGTTACCTGACAACATAAGCGTATCATCAAAGAAAACCACCAAGAGGAAGAAAAAGGAATCGAACATGGCGAAACCCGATCCAGAAATGCAACTGGAAGGTAACCAGCAACTTAATCGCGTTCGCAAACAACAATTTAAGAAAGACAAGAAGAAGGAGCGAAGAAAGGAGAAGGTCTCTTTGCAGTTGTCGGCGGGACTAGAAAATTTTACGCTTACTGACGGTTTGAAGGAAGACGATTACGACTTTAACACAGACTTTAATTTAACCTAACTTGTTACAATTAAAAAGAAGTATCCAAGACTGGTTGGTAATTCGGCAGGACTTCCCATACCTTCTCCCTCCATTTGCGCTTCTTTTCCTCTTTGGCCCTTTCAATTACCATAATCGCCGGGTAGGATTTCCATTGGTAAAAGTAGTGTAGACGTATTCGACTGCGGTTAATTAAATTAGACGCGCATATCCACATTGTTGCCTCACCTATTGTAATGACTTTCAGCTCGGCGCATATTTTTGATCTGCAGCATGTACTGAACGCAGGTGTATCTGTGGAACTGATGGAATATCTGTTTTTCTAGCTGCATTAGGTAGAAGTCCTCGGCGACTTGTCTTCGTTGTATACCGGCAATGTGTAACTACTGCAAATAATTTCAGTGTGTTTTCAAGGGCAGCGTACACATACCTGGAGCCACGAACGGAACGCTGCAGTTTTCGCTTTGAAATTATACAAGTTCGCGGCTTTTTCGTTCTTCTTGCAGTTGATAGCTTCAACGAATTTTCTCCAACACTTCATCGCATTCCGCCTTAGTATGTCTTCGTAGAACTGCCCGCTCATGAACATATTGTCTCGTTTAGTAACCAGCAAGTTTTTTAAAGTACGTAGTGTGACTTTCTTCAGCAAACTTCGGTAAAACAAATCTGCTCTGACACAATCTTTCATATACTTCTCGCGTTTCGCCTTAACGACACGATGAAACTCTAACTGTGCCTTTCTACGTTTCTGCATTGCTTCCATGCTCCGCTGTCTCTCCTCTTCGTCTTGCGTTCTCTTCTGCGCCAAGTCTTCCTCGATCGCCCGCCTCTTGGTCTCGTCTATCACTCGTTTTTTTTCACGTATTAGTCGCCGCTTACGTTCGCGTTCGAGCGCCCTCTGCTCTATCTCCCTTATAATTTTAGGCGCTTTATTTGAATTTATGGCGAAATGTAAACCTTCGTCCAAGAGAAGCGAAGATTTCAGCTTACATTTCAGTTTCGTCGAACAATTCCCGAAAATCTCCCTAATGTCGGTGTTGGTCTTCTTAACTGACTCGTTAATTGCGTCACAAAGATTGCCCAGCTTTAGTTGTTCGATCATCTTTTCCTGGTGGATCAGCTTGACTTTTTGCACTTTGATGATTTCTTCTTGTGCCTTAAATCGGTTGCGAAATTCGTTTCTCGGTTCATTCTTCTTCATAACTTTTGGGGGATGTTGCTGATTCTGATACTTTTTTAAAAGATTGATAAAGTTGTTAAGTTTTTCATTGCCATTTTTCTTCCTTTGACTGTAAAGGCGCCAAGCGACAAAGCATGCTGGGAGTAAACTTTGTCGAATGTATTCCATACTTTCATGGCTTGTGTTACATTCTGAGTTACTTGAAAGTTCACTTCTAAAAAATACGTCTGTAATCATAGCTTTCTGCCAAATGCGCGATTGAAATCTAATAAAGTTACTCATGTTTGATCAATAAGTCGGAAATCTGTCTAACAAACCAAAGTATGTTACCATGGTTACTTAACACTTTTATTAATCCTGCTTTTATTTAATTCAAGACTGCATTTTATTCACTAGCAAAAGATCGTACGATTAATAGTTTTTCAAATGTATCTTTTGTGATCTTGGAGATTCGGGAGAAGATCCATGAGCATTACTGTTGTTGTTTACTGAAAGCTCTACTTGAACTCTTTTGGTTACTAAAAATCTCTAGAAGGCTGTGGAAAGCCCTTTTGAAGGCTCTTGAATAACCTTAAAGGTCCTGAATACCATCGAGAATAATGTAGAACAAGTGTGAACGTTCTTAAGGCTAATAGACGCTCATGTCTAAAAGCTCTAAGGGGCTCTTGGAGATGAACTTTTGTGGCTTTTAAATGGAAAGTGCGTTAAAGTGTTTATTGCTTTTCTCTTGGAAGCTTTTGGGGACTATTTCCGACTCGGAGCCATAAAACATTTGGAACTCATGAAAGCTCTTCAGGCAACTCTCTTAAACACTATTAATGTGACACTCAGAGACTTACATTTGGCAACTCTGTGGAAAAACTACGAGCTAACTAACGATTGACGTTTTTCGGCACTTTTGAATCTTGGTAGCAGTCGGCTCTGATTAGATGGTACGACCATTGATTATACAGGTGGTGTGTATAAGCAGTAAGGTATGACTAAGCTCCTATGTTGTGTTATTCGCGATTCAGATTAGCAGTGAGACCTCTGGTGGCAGCAAATTGTAATTAATACAGGTGGGAAAAAACACCATTTTATTTATTTACAATGGCCAAAATTAGTTAATATTTAATGTTCACCAGTTGCAAATTTTTCATTTGCAATCAATCTAATTGCATCTTAAAGGGCAAGATAGTTTAAATGTCACATTTTATCACGGTAATTTTAAATGTGACTAGTGCAATTATGCAACCAACAAGTTTTTTTTGTATCTCGTATACTTTAGATGATATATGAGTCATTCAAGGAAATTTTTTCTGTTTATTTAGCAATAGAACAATATATGTATTCTAGCTAAAGGGTTACCGGCCGCTAGGTGTACTAGCAGATAAATAGTATGATAACATTAGCATCCATCGATGAAACCTATGTAACTTAATACTAAGTTTTATAAATTGTTTTTGTCAAATGAAGTTTGAGGACTCGCCACTCCCGCACTAAGTTTATAGGCCACAATTTTTTAAGTCTTATTGATCCTTGGTTGCAGTAAATGTTCCAATAAGGGGTTTGTGTAGATTTCTAGGGCTTCATGGTGTTTGATAGCTCTCTCCTGGATTACTTCCTGAACCATTGGTATACAGGGTGGCAATTTAAAAACTTACCACACCCCCCATGTCTTCGTAAATAAACAAGATATTTAAAAAAATCAAAATCCGTTTCGGTAATTCGGAGAGGGAATCACAATGACATAGTTGACGACGAACCCCCTCCAACCCCCTGCACCACAGCCACCCCAAACTGTTAAATCTTAAATAGTGACCCCCCATGTGTGATAGGTCGTTGGAAAGCTCTGAAAAAATGCTTTCCAACCATACCAAATAGCATTACATTTAGGTTAGTAATTATCGCGCAAATCATCATTTTAAGAAGGTAGCAGTAGAAAGCATAGGGAAACTTTGACTTTCAGTGTGATCGGTTAAAACACGAGTCAGTATTACACTGAAACATAAAACCAGTAGCGAATTTTGCAAGCTGGTAGTTTATGTTGCTAACTAAACTGTTGAAATGTCATTACCTAGCTGTTCATGTCAAAGATTTATTTCTGTTTGCAGTGCTGGATATTTCTACTTTACAATAATTTGGGGCCGTTTTATATTTTTCCTGTGTGTTTATCTTCAAACACAGCGCCATCTACTACCTTCTTATAATGAATGCAGTATAAGACATTGGGGGGAGGGGGGGGGTAAGTTTTCAAATTGCCACCCTGTATGTAGATCTGTATGATTTGTTATATACCACAGACCATCTACAATTTGCCGGATTATTTTTGATTGGTTTCTAGTACATTTGTTTTAGAAGCACAGCCCCATATAGCTCTACTCCATATGTCCAGATAGGTCGGATGACTGCCTTGTATTTGTATATTAGAATTTTATTTTCTGTTGAAGGTGTACATTTCCTTCCTATTAACCAATTTAGTTCTCTTGCTTTGATGTCTATTTGTTTCTTTTTTTTTATATGCTCCTTCCAGGTCAGCTTGTTATCTAGATGTAATCTCATTTCATTTTTATTTTTGTAAAAAACGATGTACAATTGTATTCCAACAAACATTTAATAGACAATAACATTTTCACATACAGTTAGGTACTCGCCCTCATTATAAATAACATTGGCCGCTAGGAAACGTCGTATTTTGGTTTTGAACTGCTTCAGTGATCGGCTATTTTTTATTGTTTGGGGTAATAAGTTATAGTAAAATATACTGCGGTATGTCGGAGATTTTTTAAAAAAAGGGTGTTTCGGTTTGGGCAGATAAATTTTATTTTTGGTCCTCGTATCACGATTGTGAATATCACTGTGCAGATCATAGTGTGATTTGTTTTGATGCGTGTAAATAAGGCAGTTGTGTAAATATATTGAAAACACGGTCAGTATGTTGTGGTCACGGAATACATTGCGGCACGTGTCCTAAGTATTTTGCCGTTTCCATCTGTGGTATCTGCACATTATTTATCACTGCTGCTGGACATAATAATTGTTTATGGAGGGCAAATGTTACATGTACCGATTTGTTCTCATTCACTTTAATTTTCCATTTATTTAGCCATTGTTGTAGTTCAAACAAGTGAGTCTGATGCTATTTGAGGGTTTTTTGCCACTGGATAGAATTGCAGTGTCGTCTGCAAATGTTCCTGTTGTATTTTGTGTCATTGGCAGGTCAGAATGTAGAGCAAAGGCCCTAAAACACTACCTTGGGGCACTCCAGAATTAATGGCGAAGATGGTCTGATGTTTCTTTACTTACTTTGGTTTGGAATGTTCTCTCGCTCAGGTATAGTTTTAATATATTTAAATAGGCTGTAGGGAGTGTTTGTTTGATTTTATATAGTAATCCAGGATGCCATACTTTGTCAAATGCGAAAGACCGCTGAACAGTATTACTATTTTCAAGTTCATTGTTTATAACTTGTGCCATTCGATGGACCTGCTGTACCGTGGAGTGAGCGCGACGAAACCCAAACTGATATTCCGGAATCCAATGTTGGGGCTCAATGTCCTCATTAATTCTGCGAAGTAATAGTTTTTCTAACAGTGTGGAAATATCTGGAAGCAAGGTTATAGGACATGACCGATTATTTTATTTTTTTTTAAATTATGTCCAACTTATTCGACAGGGATCTAAGAGGTATAGCACAAATAGTCAATTTGTATTTCCTTGCTTGTCATGTTCAGATGTAGAATTGCCGAATAAGCGTAAAGCGAAGTCGGTTGATGAGGTATGTATAAGCATTGTATATTTATTAGTATAACGGACGATCAAAAATGAATTTCTGTCGAGTCGCCTTTGGCAGTTCAAGTTAAATTCGATTTCCCATGTAATTAAAATTTCAAAGGTGACTCGACAGCAACTCATTTTTGATCGCATAGTACAATGGTACAAGTGTAACCAGTTCCACTGTCTTCCAGCGCCGCATACCTATCCACATCCAATGTATGCATAGCGATGTGGTGGGCGGCCTAGTTTTTAGGAGTTTATTATCTAATCATCGTTGGGGTTCAAATATAAATTTCCCAAAGTAATACTTTTTAGTACTGTAGTACCGTTTATAAACAAAGGTAGTACTGTATCTTTTGAACAATAAATTATAGGCCGTATTAAAGACGTAATCATAATTGGAATTTCCCACATTTAACATCGGGCATGCGCATTTGCGCGGTAGTACGTCACGACAGTACTAAACAAAATGGCATCCGTAATAAAGGTGGGTTCTAAACTTTAATTTATTGTTTACAAATTAGATCTTTTCACTCGTTAAATCAATTTAAAAATAAACCTCTTTTACCTATTTACTCAACTTTTCCACCGCTAATATCGTTAGCATTTTCACAGCGCGTTCGTACTTGTATATGATATACATAGACCTGCAAAATTAAAGAAAAATGGAAAGTACCCTTGAGAGCCCTGCGGAATGCAATAACACCCTAAGTATCGCTAATTTCAACACAAACCCTTGGACATCGACACCAAATGGGACGAACAGAAATCAAACCTATTTGTTTATCGCTGTAAGTACAAAGGGACAATTGTTAAACTTCCGATTTTCACTCTCTGTCTGTAGGTGGAATACGTTAAGGATACGGATGAATATAAGATTTCCACAGAGGACTTCGCAACCCGAACGACAACGACAATTACCGACTTCCAAGATCATGTAAGTCCGTTGGATCCCAATATGAGCTCGGCAGCGTGTTACAGTCCATCGGCGAACGATCCCGACATTGCGTATAACAACTCTGTTGTTGTACCACAACTAATCACCTCCAATACCAACCAACCATTACTCAATGCGAGTCGTGATTCGTTCATCAATCAGCTAGTCGAACCAAACGCACCACTAGAACACATACCGAACCTAACGAATTCGGAAACGAACCTTCTGAAAGAAGTTGTCAGCAATAGATATCTATTAAACCAAGAGCCCACAACGAATCCTCCGAATCCGGGTGTTCTGCAGTTGGTGTCCGATCGGAATCCCGAACAAGAAGTGGAACTGTTAATTACCGACCAAACAACCGGCATATCGTATAACGTCAGCACTCAGGAGTACTTAGTCGAACGATGCTTGGCCGACGAGCAACACCTATTAGATGCTCTAGCCCCCGATCCCCTACTGGATCCCGACCTTTTAACATTGGACGTCTCCACTTTAAAGTCACAACTGCCCGATATCGTCGAGGCGGCTGAACTCATCTCCAACTCGGTGATACAGCAGAACTTGACCGATTTAGAAATTAAAACTGAGGACTTCGAGGAGAAGGAGAATGAGAATCTGCGGAGATCGCTTAGGCAGCACGATCTGAAGTTGAACGAGAAGGAAGAGGGTATCTTATGTAAGTAAATTGTATGGGTGTGACGTTGGCATTATTATCGAAAATTGGAGAATTTCTTAATAGTTTTATTTGCCCACAATGATTTAAAATAGCACAAGATTGAACAAAGAATTGTAGTAAAGTTAATTATTTCGCATTGTTATGAAGTAGGCGGATGTCAAAAAAAGTTTCTGAAGAGATTTGTAACATTTCTGAAACCCAAAAAATCTTTCAAGGAGGATACCGTAGTTTCAAAAAAATTTATAATAAAATTCCTGTAAATGTTTCAAGTGGAACCATTTTCAAAATGGTTTCTAAAAACATTTCAGAATCAAAAATTTTTTGAAAAAGAGTCCTTTGGAGGTTTCAGTCAGAGTTTGCGAAAAATGCGCTATCAATTGCTCTAGAGAGTTTGCTAGTCAATTTCCTCCTCCGCCAAAATGTTTAAGATAATTATTAAGTATGAGAATTTGAAGAATAATGATTAATAAAAAAATTATCAAAAAAATTAGTTAATTTGTCTGCGCCATGCACGCTTTGTAAAATATTTCCTTGGAAAATTTATTTTTATTTTTTGTTTGTTAATTAATGCAAAGAAAATGGTATTAACTTTCTCTGGATCCATGGAGAACATAAGACATAAAAAGGTCATTTTCTATACCCAACAAAACTGCTTCAAGACTTTACTTTTGTTTAATCTTATGTATTAGGAGAATATAATGTGTTAGGAGGTGTTTCCAAATGTTATCCATTTTTCTGGCTACCAGGAGAACATGATCCATGAGGACATCTGTTTCTGTGCTCCACAAAATTGCTCAGAGATTTTTAGTTTAGACTTTCGTATCAGGAGTATAATGTACGAGGGGGCGTTTCTACGCTTAATTCACTGAGCAACTTTTAAAAAATGTACATTTTTTCTGGCAACTAGGAGAATATAATCCAGAATGTATTCATTAGAGAAATATTATAAAAGTTCTCTCGTTACCAAGAGAACAATGTCCATGTACTGTGTGTCCTGTTTTGGTTGAGACTGCAGTGTATCTCAGCTGTTTTTAATGATTGAGACTTGCGGTTTTCACCACCCTGTGCCACTTTTTTTTAAACCTTTAATAACACAAGTTTTTAGTCACATCATAGTCAATTTGAACATTACTACAGTTACATTCAGGTTTTTATTAAAGAAATTCGATTTTTCATACATTTTGCTATAATTACTTACTCGAAATTTGTTTCTAAAATTTGTTTTTTTTTAAATTTTTTTATGAGCATGATATACATTTTTGAAATCAGGCAATATGCATAAACAATCGAATTTCTTTATTAAAAACCCGAATTTAACTATAATAAATGTTCATATAGACTAAAATGTCACCTGAAATGGGGGTTTTTTTTTAATTTTGAACTTCTTTTGTTTTTTTTATAAACATGTGATGACCTAAAACTTTAAAATGGCTCCCATATGAAAAACAAAAGTTGGTATCAAAAGTATTAATGTTAACGAAAATTCATTTCCATCATCTAAATTCTAAAACAACAGAAAAAGTTCCCTAAAGAAAGGTTGTTTGGTTTTTAAATACCTCCTCAAATAATGATCTTAAAGCCAAAAACGTCAATGATGTTATTTTTCGCAATATTTTTTAAACGTGGGCTAAATAATGTTTTTTTATTTTATTTTATAGTACATGTTAAAATGATATTTTAATAGGTTTGAATGAGTAGGCTAAGCCGTTCTTTAACCGGAAGGATACATAAAGTGATCACTTTAACCGTTAGGGTAGATAAAGTGAAACAGATGAGTGTGCATTCTAAAGACATCTGTCATTCTTATTTCAAATGCACGATATAAACTGACGTCCAGAACATATGACAATTCTGTTTCTATAGAAATGATCACGACGGCAGAACCTATGCTATTTTTGACGTCTCTAAATTAAATTCAGAATTGTCAGAAGCTTTTCAATGATTTATATAGCTTCTGCTATAAAATAAAGTTTTGTATTATACACGACGATAAAGGGATATTTTCCCTTCTTGTATAATAAAGTAACTATTATTTGGCATAACTCGAGGATCATTTTTGTCCACTTAACGTACTCTCTATCTATGCTAATAACTAATAAGTGAGATCTCTGTACTTAACACGAAATTTGATACAATCAGTATAGGGTGTTGCACTTAATAAATACATTGTGTCGAGACACTGTGGTCCAAACATTTTTTTTAACTACGCCACTGGTTTCTGCGTAAATATATCTAAAATAAACAGTTTTTACCTTTTTTCTATTTTACATCTGAGTAGTAACATATAATAACATCCCAAAAAGTCAAACTTTTCGTTTTCACTCTGTATCTCCAAAACAAACGTAGGTAGAGTGATTCTGTGTGTGATATTAAAAGTTTGCACAGGGTCGCGAAAACCGCAAGTCTATCTTTAAAAACAGCTGAGATATACTGCGTCTCAACCAAAATGGGACACATGGTACGTGAGGAGGTGTTTCTGTTTGTAATATACTGAGAAATGTGTGTATTCTTTAGTGCTCCATTTTAATTTGGTTTCCGCACAATTTTCGTGATAGTGTATTTTTGTTGCAAACAGCACACACTGTAGGAGCGGTTGTACTCTCATCCGCACCTCCTGCCATGTTGGATGGTCTCATTTATTTTAAATTGTTATTATGGAATTGATAATTTTTCTTGAGCTTGTGCGTTAATTTGAAATAATTCTAAAATTTGCCAAATTTAAAAATACCCAGGAGATGTAGCACAAAAATTTGACATTGTTCTTCCCGAGAGGAAAACAACTATAAATTGTGTACAACAAATTAAAAAAAATATGTTACAAATCAGAAATTAAGAACATTTGTGAAATACTACTAATAGTTTAAATTTCATGCTTAAGTTTAAAAAGAAGAAAGAAAAGATTAACAAAAATTCAATACAAATTAAACAATCGAAAAATTGGACACATCCGAAAAAAATTGAATATGATTAAATATCCATTCATAAAATTCATAAAAATTTAAAAAATTGGAAAGATAAAAAAATATGAAAATATTGGTAAGATCCAAATTAAAAATTTAAAAATCCAGAATATTGAAATATGGAGCAATTAGGGAAAATACAGAAAAATTAAAAAATTACTTGCAAAGTAAACAAGCAGAGGTATATACAAAACTTTAAAATAAATTATTCACAAATCTACCGATCTTTAGAAATTAAAAAAAATTGAAAAATTTGGAAAATTAATTTTGATAGCTGTCTAAATTTCAAGGGCAAGCGTGTAAAGAAGAATATAAAATTTGTATAGCGTTAAAAAAACCACTCAGAATCCTACTGAAGAATTCACAAATAGAATTTTAGAAAAATTCGAAAAACTTAGGAAACAGGAAAGAAATTCTGTAATAAAAAATTAAAATGAAAAAATAAAAACGGTTACGTAAACTTTTCTTACTTGAGTCATAATCCCAACAATTCTACGTAAAAATGTGGCTATAAAATTAAGTGTACACAAGTTTCTCAAATTCAGAATAAAATGTGAAAATTGGAAAAAATAAAAAAATATTAAAAAATTGTGTATGTTCCGTGTGGAACTCTAGAACTAATTTGAGCACAAAGAAATTGATTAAAAAATCAGATGTGAATTTTGAGTCCTTTGCTGTGATTTTTTAGGGTACTTTTCGCTAGCTTTTTTCAAAAATTCAATTATTGCGAGTGCATTTACAACTATCAAACAAAAAATGAGATGTTGAGTGTCAGTTTTTGATAATAATGATATGCTAACTTCACATACGTCGTGTCGTTTTCACCTGTGCCATTTCAGTGAACAAAATTCGTACAATAAGCGACAAACCTGTGGAGTCGCGTGCGAAAGCAACACTGCCGGCCCATTACTTGGCAATCATTAAAAACGATAAGGGGGGATACGGCGTGTTCGCCCAGAAGTTGATCCCGAAGCAGACACAGTTCGGTCCGCTCGAGGGGCTTGTGGTGGTTAACGACTGTCAGCCCGATAGCGAGGGTTTTCACTTGCTGGTGGAGTCTGACAATGGAACGGTCCATCGTTTGGATGTTTCGGACGATCGTGAGTTTGCAAAGCTTAGTCGATTCGCTGCTGCATGTTTTTTTCAACAGGTGTTGCTAATTGGATGTGTTACGTGAGACGAGCCGAAACTTACATGGAACAGAATGTAGTCGTCGTTCAACGGGGTAGTTCTCTGTTTTATAATACTGTGACGAATATATTGCCGAAACAGGAACTGTTGGTAAGTTAGTCGGTTTCTTCGTGTGCAAGGTTGCAATTCATGAAATTAGTGGTACCCATATACAATTGTAAATGGAATGTAAGGCAAAGGCAATTTTAAAAAAGAGTTTATCTTCTTAGCTCAAGGGTTGGCAACCTATTGAAATAGAAGAGCCAAAAGTTACAATTTACAAAATTTCTCCGCTTTTAAAGAACCACTAAACATTTTCAATTCAATGTTATAGATAGTACCTCGAGGTAGGTATAGTCTTTGAATATAAAATTAGGAAGAAGCCTAAGTAAATGGGAAATTGCAAACTTTTTATTTATAAATGTATTTAAATGATATTTGATACATATGCACTTGGAATAAAAGCAAATGTAACGTCTTTTTGAAAATTTAGTTTTGCGCATGCGCAGTGCCAACTTTCTTATTTATTTATTTATAAACATAACAGGTTGCCCCAATAACAATGCTCACGTATTGTTAATAAAAAAAAACTATTCTAAAACAAAGAATATAAAAAAATATATGTTAAGAGTATTAAATTATAAAAAAACAAAAGAAATAAAAAAGAAAAAAAATGCTGTGAACAATTTTTTACAGTCCTTGGATATTGTCACATGATCTTGCAAACTGTCTTAGGGACATATAAAAAATATCTATGGTGTTCTTCCATAAATGCGTACTATTATAAAGATGAAGGCATTTTAATGAAATTTTATACATATTCACTTGGAATAAAAGCAAATCTAACAC